TGTGTGTGTGTGTGTGTGTGTGTGTGTGTGTGTGTGTAGTGTGTCTCACACATTTTGGACATTGTTCCATGGTGTGTCCACGTGGACTGTCGATGAATATGAGACAGCCTGCAGGTCTGAATGATTATAATTAGATCTATGGACATAGAGACTCTACCCTTTTGGCTAATGTGATACATTTCACTTAGGAGTTGAGGGTCCTGGGGCAGACACAGCTGTAGTAGATTCTTCTTTTTAATGATTGTATTTTTAGGAGATTCTCACTGGGCATCATCAAATTGTTTTGACTGTCCGTAACAAGTGGCTGAGAACTGCCTGTAGGGTTTTGTAGGCTATCATCTTCACAGGTTTTTGCTTCCCCAGAACCCACTGTATGGGCTTGAACTGCCAACCTTTCCACTGGAAGCTGAGAGACTGAACTCCTGCCCCACCAGGGCTCCTCAGTAGATCCTGGTGGACTCTGACTATAACCGTGCCTCCTCCTCTGTCCCAAGCCCATCACCTGAAGCAGAGAGGGGACACATGCTGGGGCCCACAGGCACCTTCCATTTTGGTGCGATCAGCAGGACCTTGACCTTGGATGGGAATGTAAACCCCAGGGTGCTGGACCTTCCGTCCTGGAGCTCAGCTCAGGGACCAGAGCAGCCACAGCGTGGGAGTCTGCTCCACCGCCCGACAAGCAGGGCTGGGCAAGCACAGCACGGCGGGCGGGCGTTGTGGGTCTCTGGTCTGCACCATCAGAGCGGCTCACCGTCCAGGTGGCCTGCTTACTGGGTGGGAGTCGGCAGAACGCACGGTGAGGGGGTGGAAACCTCATCGGAGGCATCCTGCTTTGACTTTAGCCCACGAGGGCTATTCTGCCGACCTTTCTGTGAGCAGTTGAGTGCTCAACCACTGCACCACCAGGGCACTGTCTTTAAGATTCTTACAGAAAACCCTTTGGGGCAGTTTTAAACTCTTTTAATGTGGCTCTAAGTTAGAATCAAATTGACTGCACAAATGACAAAATGCTAGTTATTACAGGTGTTCGTTCCTGGGTAGTGCCAACATTAAAGCATTGGCACTAATGAGAAGGTTGGTGGTTTGAGTCCACCCAGCCAGCCTGACATTCTGCTTCTGAAGACGCAGCTACTGAAAACCCCACCGGGCACAGTTCTACCCTGGCAGCTGGGGTATCGACCCCCATAGTGGCAGGAATTGGGACACCATGCTTTGGTTCAGGGAAAGGAAGAAGCTGGATGTGGCGAGGTGGGGAATCGAACCCAAGTGCCTCACGTGGAGGTGGAGCCCCACTGCAGACCACCACTGACCCTCTGAACTGCCTGTGTCCAGGGAGCGTGGGGATGAGAAGTCCATTCAGGAAAGAGAGTACCAGGGTGGGCAGGCAAGAAAACAGGTTGAATTACCTAATAAATACCCTCTTTACCACTCCCCACCCAGGGTGCTCCTTGGAGGCAAAGTTGATGTGGCCTTGTCTCACGTACTCAGGCTCTTGCGAGAGGCCATCCTGCTTGGGAAGGTGGATGGATGCGAGAGAGCAAGACCCTCAACCAGATGGGTTACACGCCGACTACAACAACGGGCTTGAGTGTGTTAGAGATTGTGAGGTTGGCACAGGATGGGGCAGTGTTAGAGTCCCTCCTCGACTTGACCCCACCTAACAATGCCCATTCTCTAAGTGGGGAAGTTGTGTGTACATGTTACTGTGTGACCTTGAGTAAGTGCCCTCAGTCCTCGAAGATACTTCCCTCATCTAAAAGTGCCCCCTGAGCTCCGCCTCACAGCGGGCAGGAAGCATGGACAATGCACTTGTGGGCTGCAGAGGGCCTGCAGAGGGAGGGAGGAGCAGGGAAGCCTGACCGTCTGGGCAGCGATGTCCTTCATCTGGAGCAGACCCTGCTCTCGGTTTACATCCTCATGGACAGTCCACGTTGTGAGGGGGACCTAGCCATCAAGGGCCCTCCCTGAAGCCCCCGGACGGCAGGAATCCCAAGGCCATCTGGGGGGGGCCTTTCACGAGCCCTGCCAGCTCCTAAAAGCAGCCTCGTCCTCAGCGTCTGGAAAGTGGGGGGCTCGGCCCATCACGGGTCTCTGAGGGTGAATGAGACAGTGCAGGCAACTGCCTGGCGCCAGGTGGGTCCAGCAAACACACACTGAGCCTCTGTCTGTGCTGGGCCCGTCTCCTGCGGTGACCCCACATGTGACCTGCCCCCTCCCCTTCCTTCTGCTCTGTCAGATGAGGAGTGGGTGTCCTGGAGGTGGGTGAGGAGGGCACCAAAACACCCAGCTCCCCATCTTGTAAGCAGGGGAAAGTGCTGGACGTTTGTACACTATCCCCACAGTTTTGGAGTGACCTGTGTCACCCACGTCCCCTAAACCAAGGCCTGCCACCCCAGCCCCCCATGTGAGGACAGCAGACACCCCACAAAACGGCCCAGTTCCGGTGTTTGGGATCAACGGAGAATGTTTATTTAAAAGCAATTTTAAATATTAAAAAAAGTAGAAATGAACACATACAGTACTGAAAAACGGTCACATTAAATACACGTGAGAAGACGAGGGTACTGACATCTGATCTTAACATCCAGGTGAGTTTGGGGTGTAACTGGTGGCACTGTAGATTCCTATACAACACGTGCAAGTTCTAGGCCATAAAAAAATAAATAGCAATTGCAGTTCAACAGTAAAATAAGACACACACTATTTGCAGGGTTTAAGTTCTCCCTCTGCAGGGGAGGGGGAAAGAACTAATTAGCTAATTTTTTTCCCCATAAGCTTCCATACTTTCAAAATACTATAGATTGTACAAAACTGCGGAGTGGGCCACTGAGTTAAGAACAGGATTGAATTCACACTCAGCCAAGCTCACTGAAGGGATTTCTACTTATTTCTTCCATGTGCCCAAGCTAGATTTGAAAGAACACAAACTCCTGAAGAGGGAACAACCCCAACACAAACCAAAATAACAAAACCAAACCAGACAGATTTAAAAAAAAAAAAAAAGGACATTCATTCAAAATGTGCTTGTGGAAGGTGGGCGGTGAGGGCAGATCAGAAGACAAGAACTCTGGAGTCCACACCACTGTTCCTACATTGTTGCCGGTCAATTATGTGGAGATGAGCTGGAATGGTTCTTTGATGCCCCTGAAAACATGTGAGTGCATGACCGGCTGGACAGCTGGGATGGAGTGAAGGCTGCCCTGGTCAGTCACACACGGCATATCCCCTAACCTGATGGCCCTGTGCTGGGAACTCCCCTACTCCAGCCCCCAGTGAAGAGACGGCTGGTGGGCCACGCTCACCACTGTACAGCCGTGCCCCACAAGGCCTGTCTCGTGAGTGGCTAACAGCGTTCAGGGTCCGCAGACGCCATCGTTACAATGCATGGGACTGACAAGGGGTCTTTCCTGAGGGCTCGGTGGGGACTTGCGCTCCTGGGACGCGAACCTTGATCTCTTGCTGCCGAGACACCTGCTCAAGTTTTCTGTGCTGCTGTCAAAGAGGCAGCAGATGTGATGCCAGGACCACGCAGAGCCAGGGACTCAGGAGCCCTGCTCCCTGGGGAGGGCATCTGTCCCCTCCCTTCCAGAGCTGACGGGGACGTGGGGTGCCGAGACCTCGTGGTGCCCCTGATGGTCTGACAGGCATGGTGGGTGGATGGTGAGACAAAAAGGCTGGTGGCAGGAAGTGTGTGTGTGTGTGTGTTCACAGTGCAATTCATAGCGGCGTTCAGAACCCTGAACGGAGCATGAGCTGGGTGAAGCGAAGACTGGACACGTTTCTACAATGTGATGGGGGAGGGGAGAGGAGGGGCAGGGTGGTTTCAGCACCTGGGTTCAACTGCGGGGAAAACGGAGAGAAGGGTTACGTTTGAAATTCTTCATCTTCTTGAATCATCTTTTAGAAATGTAAATTTATTCAAGACCAAAACTAAGAAAATAATTTCAAATGGACTCCTTCCAGACTCGGACAACTCCGGAGGAACCATACTCCTTGCACGCACAGTCCACTCAGGCTTCGAGAAGGCCAATGACTGACCAGAAACACATGTCACAACCTTATAATTTCTGCTTTAATGGCAATCAGGTTTTAAAAAAGGTACAGTCCCACTGATCCATACAGTTCCTTTATAAAAGGCAGATTTCAGGTAAGCTTCTAAATGCATGCATAATGAAGAGCCCATGGGCTCCCGGCGGGCTGGGTTCCTGAAGGCTGGACTTCATCAGATGTGTCTACACTTCCGTCAGATTCGTCATGAAGGATGTTAGTTTTGCATCATGAGGTAATATCTCAGGGTGGGCACATCATGAGAAGGGCAAGTCCTCTCACCTACACTCGCAGGTGGCGGTGGGCACTGGACACCCCCACCGAGCGTGGGGCCAGCAGGCATTCTGCTGGAAGTGTTAACACTGGCAGGGAAGTGAGCACTCCTCTGTCGGGAATCCCAAGCCGGCGTCTGCAGCTGGAAACTGAGCACAGATGTGGCGGTGGGTCGGCTGCGAGTGCAGCACTTCACCTGGAGAACGGAACCCACCTCTGGGCCAATGTTGCATTTCAGTAACACGGGTGAGAATACTGCATCGCTAGGAAGAGAGTCAAGGCTTGGCCTTTCAATGGTTGCTAGAGACCACTTCTACTTGCAAAGCCAGCAGTTTGTATACTCCTGTTTTTATTTGTTTGCTTGTAAAACAGCAGAGAGAGAGATGTAAGTGCTAGATGCCAAGCATGGCTTTGGCAAACCAGTAAGGCGTGCAGGGCTCCCAGGCCCCCGTAATACTGGCGCAGGCAGGAGCCCACTGGGCCATCACACGCAGACGGTGTCCACCTCCCGAGGCGACCCTGCGTGGGCTCCAGGTTCTGTAACAGCAGCTATGTACACGGGGGGCAAGGGGGGGCGTGGAGGCGGCGGGCTGCAGGAAGGATGTGGTGTCGGGAGGGTCTGCTTCCTGCTAGTCGGACAGGATGTGCACAAAGGACACGGGGAAGACCCCCTTCCGTTCAGGCTGTCCTTCGATGTGCCCGATCTGCAAGGGGACAGAGAGCGGTCAGCCAGAGGCCGCCCCAGGGTGGGACGAGGGCCTCAGCTAACCGTCTTGGGGTGGACATGAGCTCCAACTCCAGATAAGAAGGAGCCATGAGGCAGTGATGGCAAAGCTGACCACCTGCCCAGAACTTCCAGGTCTCACCACCCCTTTGGGCCACGTCCTTATTGCCCTGAGAGATGAGGGGACAAGGCCCCAGGGGTGGGGTCCACACCCATAGTCCCCAAGGCTCCTCGTGGCTCAGACTCCATGTCCCATGCCAGCGTTGTTCTAAGTGGGGACCCTCCACTCACCTGACTAGGGCGCTCATCTGGAAAAGGGGCTGACAGCCACTCTGTCCAGGCCGCTGGCTGTGAGCTTACACACTTAATGTCTGTGGATACCTGTGCACGTCCACTTACTCGTGAGCACACACGCTCCCCTTACGAGAGCCAGAACTCGAAGGTGTTGCCTTGCTGTTTAGTGAACACTTTGGGCTGTCCTTCCCTAAAAGGCATCCTGCTCTCACTCAGGCTCCGGCTGGCACAGGTTTCACCAGACCTGTGTGCACGTGTGTGTGCACGTGTGTGTGCACGTGTGTGCAGTGGGAGCCGCACAGTGGGGCTGCTAGGCTTGGGCACCTGCTCTCTGACTGGCGGAGGTGGGGCATCACGATCAGCTCTAAGCCACGGCTTCCTGTGGAACCCACCGGGTTTGGGGGGAACAGGGGTACGTACCCACCACTCCTGGTCCTCCTCCCCGGTGACGACAATCACCTCCCCCTCGAGGAATGTCAGCTCATCGTCATTGTCTGCCTGGCAGTCGTAGATGGTCTTCACGCGCCTCACTTTATTCTTCCCCTGGAAGAAAGCAGCTGGGCTCAGTGGACTGAGTAATGGGCAGGAGAGGACGCGGGGCCCCGAAAGACGAGCGAGGACACGCAGGGTGAGCGATGGAGCTCCTCACGCCTTGGCTCATGCTCCGCAGTGGTGAAAAGGACCAACAAGTCAGCCCTGCGACGTCCCTGTCTCTCCCCATGTGTCAGGGAAACGTCTGCGCCAGAGTGAGTATCACTGAGTCAGTGTCACCCGACAGCAAACAGCACAGGCAGGGTCCACATCACGGTCAGGAGCCCTCCTCTGCCCAGCCCAGCAGCCCTGACAGGGACAGCAGTCTGCAGAGCTAAGAGTCCTGTCAGGGCTGCTGAGCTGGGCAGAGGAGCATCAAGCGCACAAACACCCCTCAGTCCCTCCGCGCAAAGCACGCCGGGCACGGCAGTGAGAACTCAGGGGACGCTGAGCAGTCCCACAAGTGTCCATCTGCAGTCAGCTCTGGCTGGACTGTCATTCTCTGGACTTCCTGTTCTCACAGACAGGAAGACAGACAAAGGCATCACCTTCTAAGGAGTTCTCAGCAGCCGGCTAGTTAGACAGTAACAGAAAAGCTGCTGTGTTTGTGGACGTTTTAGGTTAAGGGACTTTCCCTCTCTGCGTCCTGATGTTTCTCTTAGTCACCTGATGACCTGGCCATTTTGTGAGGACCCATCCGGGGGCTGGAGTGGTGGCGTCTGAGAGGTCTGGCTGGGCCTGGACAGTGGGACACCTTCCAGCTTCTCAGCTTAGGTGCCAGGGGGCCACTGAGGCAGCCACTGGGTGGCGGGTGCCACTCAAGAGACGGGAGGTCACATGAGCTAAACAAGAGTCTAGAAAGCATGTGACCTGCGGTCAGTTGGCTGGGGTGCGGGGAGTATCTCCAGGGGTCATCAAAGTCCACACTCGCCATGGTGGAGCCCACTCTGTGGGCAGTGGGCCAGACCTTGACCGTTCCTGTGTGTTAGTGGTTACGGCTGTTAAGGGTAAAGGTTGGAGGATCCAGTCCACCCATAAGTGTCATGCACGAAAGGCCTGGAGACATCCTTACAAAGTCAGGGACCAAGAGCCCTATTCCGATAGGACACTAGGTCAAAGTCTCTCTGTCCCTCCCCACTCCCACCAGCACTGCCTTAAGAAAGTCTCTATGTTCAAGGCAAGTAGGGGCGGAGCTCCGTGGGTGCAAATGTCTGAGAAACAAATGTCATATCGCCCTGAAGCAGCCTCTTTCCTCAAAGGTTTTGGGAGGAAAAGCAGCAATTTTTTTTTTAAATTAAAACTTATTAATGAGTAGAAAGCACTGCATGAAAATGATCATGAAATGAGATCTCAATGACATTTTGTGTTTGTGGGTGTGTTTTTGGGCTTTGTCTCCAGTCCTTTGGGAGGAGGTGGGAAGAAAGCCGACCTGGAGATACTGTGAGGCTGAAGGGAGAAGGCTTTCTGGAGGCTTAAGGAGCCGAAAGTCTTATTGTCGAAGTTTCTAGTAAGAGCTACCGTGGCTGAGTGTTCACGGCGTGCCAGCCAGGATTGTCCATCCTGTATCCCTGCATCTACTGTATTTTACGTCATGAGTGCGCAGTATGGTTTTTTGGAAACTGCATAACCCCGGGTTAGTTTCCTCGGCGTGTTAAACGTGTGTGGGTATGGTATATGTGGAAGACACGGTCCCTGCCTAGGAGCTGTTTCTCTACTAGCCCCTCTCTGCACATGGAGAACCAGTCTAGGGTCGGAAGTCCCCTGCCAAGGCCATGAGGCGGTGGGATACCCACAGCCAGGTCTAGAAGCCTGTTACTGCCAACCAGTATTCTGCACCTAATCACTGGGCTTCACGCCATGGTAAGTGGAACCAGAGGGCGCGGGCACAGCTGGTCGGTGAGCCTGGCCTTGCTTTTTCTTGCCTAGGTTGGGCACAGACCCTCCCACCAGCTTTGGAGGACAGCAGAACTCAGAACCTGGGGGCACCCACCGTGTTGATCTTCCTGGGCAGTGGGACGGGGGTCTCCGGCAGGGTGGGTGTGAGCTCGTTGGAGTCTTCAGAGGCCTGTTTTTGGAGGGTGTCTCTGGACTGCAGATTCGGGGACAGATCTGCAGGGTGTGACTTCTGAGGGGCGTCCGATGGCTGCTGGGCCTTGGGTGACACCTCCCCAGCCTGGGATTTGGCCAGCAGGTCTCCAAGCTGGGGCTTCGGGGGCAGGTCCTTCATCTGAGGCTTGGGAGGTAAGTCTGAGAGCTGGGGTTTGGGTGGCAGGTCACCCAGCTGTGGTTTGGGGGGCAGTTCTCCCGGCTTAGGTGGCAACTCTCCAATTTGGGGCTTGGGGGCCAGTTCTGTGGGTTTAGGGGGTAGATCTCCAGGCGGTGGCTTCTGGGGCAAATCTGCCACCTGGGATGATTTCTGGAAGATTTCGGGCGGGACGCTGCCTTTGTCTAGGGAGACGTGATGGATGGTTTCTGTCTTCCTTAGGGCCACTGAGGGAGCAAGACAAACAGAAGACAATCAGGGAGGGAACAGAAGTGGAGCTGCAGGCCCCGCAACACCCATCTACCCTCCGAGCACAGGGCAACGAGCCTCCAGGCCAGGCCCAGACCCGGCTTTGCAGACAGAACCTGAGCCGGGCGGGGGGTCACATAGCAACTAGGAAGGTCTGATGCTTCACTTAAGTAGGAGCAGGATGTACAAACGAGCCTAGAATTAAACAACAACAACAACAACAACAACAACAACAAACCCCTATGACATGCTATAAACACAAAACAGATGACAGAAAATTAGAAAACACAAATTCTTGATTGTCTCAATGTAGCCATCTGAAATATTTTTATATATCCATGCTTTCGCCCACTTTCTAGGGATAGCAGCTTTTATTAGAACATATTTTCAGAAAATAATTTGCCATGTTATTAAAAGTTCTTTATTAGCATGGCTTTTTAAAAAACATTTTAAATTTTATTTTACTATTTGTTGTGTGTGTACCATCAAATCGGATCTGACTGGTACAGGAGGAGACTGTCCCACCTTCTCCAGCAGAGCATCTGGTGGATTCGAACCGTGCGCCTCTGGGATTACAGTGCAGCTTCTTGTCACTAGGCCACCAGAGCTCCCTAAGCATGACATTTTAAATGTCCCCCTTTACTCCACTCGCTGTGACGTCGCTGTTAGGTGATGTCGAGCTGTGACTCACAGCGGCCCCAGGACCACAGATCTGAACTCCGCCCTGTCCCGCACCTCCCTCACTGTATCCGCCCTACAGCTCTGCCCTAATTCACTATCCACCTTCTCTGTGTTAATGATAAAAGGTCAAGCTCCTCTTGTCCCCATCCAGACTCAGTTCCCTTTGGTGACTTTGCTATGTACACACACACACACACACACCCCCTCTGCGAATACCTCCTACTTTAGAATCATTACTGGGATTTGCAACATGCCTGCTGTAGCTCTTTTCCTCTGCCATTGCCCTTGGTATCCTGACCCATTACAATACTTTCTAATGGCTGCAGAGTACTCCACAGCTCAGGTGGTGACCATGGCATAACCACCCACTCCAGCTCTCTACACGGCGTGTAAGACAGAAAGAAGGGTCGCTGGTTGACAGTCTCCAGTTCAGGCTTCTCCACACATACACTGTGTGACCTTGGAGAAACGACACCACATCTCTGAGTCACTGTTCAACTCTGAAAGCACAGTCTCACATGGTGGTGATGAGGACGATGAGAAGTCACAAATGTAAGGGGTCAGGGCAGCCCAAGTCCCATACTTCAGGTGCCCCGGAGCCCCAGTGGCTCGCACAGACTGCTAGTGGCCACTCCTCAGACACCCAGGACAAGAACAGCTATACCCTCGCTATCACCATGGGCATCCGTGGACAGGATGGAGCAGGCTAGGCCTTGTTTCCCCGAGGGTCATGGCCATCATGAGCACGTGTGGCCCAGCGAAGGTCCAGGAACACCTCGCCCTTCTCTTCAGAACCAGGCACCCACCACGCAGACACAAAAGCAGGAGTGTCAGCAGTGCTCGAAGGTTCCTCGGGGTCAGGATTTGTCTTGCTTTTGGCACCAGCTCCTGGTACAGAGGCTGGGCACACAGCATCCTCAGTGAGGCCGAGGGGGCTCAGCCGCGCCAAACTAAGAATCTTTCTGAGAAACAGAAAGCATTCGGAAAAATGTTCTCATGGCTAAAAGGACAAGCCCAGGACGGCAAGCAGAAGCGGGCCGTGGGTGGTCTGGTTCTGCCACCACCTCCGAGGGCCACCTGCTCCTGGCCGAGAGCCTCAGCCGCGTGGCCTGGCTCCGGAAGCCTCACACCAGCTCAGTCCTACTCGTCACTTCCAAGTCTGCAAATGGGGCAAAAAAAGCTAGAGGAAGGCAAGAATGGGGAGAAGCAGGGGGCTTCCCTAGCCAGGCAGGCTCCTGCCAGCGGAGCTGTACCAGGAGAAACCAGGGACAAGCATCCCAAACTCCCAAAACAGGCAGTTTGTGCAGTCACACCTCCAACTTTGGAATTTATTCTAGAGAATGCTAAAAACCATACACTGAGCCGTCTGCACTGGTGTGGCTGGGTGTGAGGTTGTGTGAAATGCCGACATTGCCTATTGTCTGCATGTTTGACCATAACACTGCTCGACACGTCAAGGTGCTACACACACCACGCAGCCTGGAACTGGAGCTGGAGAGCTCATATCATGGAACAGGAATCTGACTGAAGCGGGGGGGAGAAAAATAAGGTTTAATGGAAAATAATTACAGAAAAAAGACTACAAAGGTAACCAAACTGGTTATGTGGGCAAACCTTGGGGAGGCTTATGTTTTCTTCTTTCATCTATCTATAGTTTCCAGCTATTCTACAATACTACTTTGATCCACCATGCAGAGTCTGTCCACTGGCTCTTGTACTTCTAAGGCAGCTCTGATTCCCATTCCCACCAACCCCACTGTATCCAGATAAAGGTCCTTTCAGAAGGACATCTTTGCAGGACGGGTAAGGATTTTTCCTTTAGGAACTGGACTATACAGACTACCAATGCCAGGGCAAAACACTTTAAGGAACAGGAAACTTCTGGAAAAGGAGAACTCTGAGTAAATGGTGACACTTTCCCCAATGGGAAGGCATCAATGACAGTTCCAAGGGGTCCACAAATGCACAAGAAATGCTGACGGGAGCCAAAAAGTGGAGAAAGGCTGCAAAGCTGTATGGTTATTGCAGGGACAATGACAGAAACCATGTGTGCTCAGAAGATGGCAGGGCGTAGTGTCACACTGTAGAAATAAGTACACCCCTATCCTTATAAAACAGACGCATGCTTCTCTATTAATGCTTTTGACCCAAAAAATTGCATTTAAAAGAATGGCTCAATTGTAGCCACTGGTCTCCGCCAAGGCCTTTATTGGTCCTCCTGAAAGGGACCCACAGATTAGAAAGCTCAGGAGTGGGTTCTGACCAGAGCACAGTCCTGCGAAGATGCCAGTTGGGTGGACGCTGGAGGGTAGATCCCCTTGCTAGATGTTCTCTTTCCTGGTGTGTGTTTGTGTGTGAGAGAGAGTGAGTGAGAGTGAGAGAGAGAAAGAGAGAGAGACAGACAGACAGACAGACAGACAGACAGACACACACACACACACACACCCCCCCACAACACTCCAGTGGACAGAGGACAATGGTTTACAGCAGGGTGTATACCCTCAATCGTGTGAGCCCCCCAACTTTCAGAGGGGGTTGTAGGCTGGGTGGCAGCCTCTCCTTGTGCTCACTGCTGAAGGGTGGGGAGTGTCCAAGCAGCCTCTGCTCTCCTCTTCTCATTCTGTGCAGATCACGTGACAGTTAAGACATGAGACCTTGGCGTGACCAGTCACGGCTTCTCCAAACACATCACTCTGTGGTCGAACCGTGGAAAGCGGTGAGCCCAGAGCCCACACTGACACTCCTCCTGCGGGCAGGCAGCAGAGCACAGCCAGGCCACAGGTCGCAGTGCGCAGGGCAGTGGGCCTGTCCCCATGGACTCCCTTGTGAACGCTGTGGGAGGTGGCCTGCGACTCTAAAGCAAACGTGCTCCCACCAGATAAAGGGAGCACTGTGCTTCTGTTGTCCTAACTCGCAGAGATTCTGGTCTCACAAATGGAAAGCTTGTTCAGGATTAAAGACAATGTGGTCAAAGAGCCGAGTGTCCCAGCTTGGCAAAGCAGCAGTGTCTACAGACACTGCTTCCTGTGTGTCTCGGGGCGCAGGCTCCGCGTTGGGCCTGCAGATGTCACCCCTGGAAGGACCGCTGGGCGTCCTGCCGGGTGGGGCCTCCTGACTGAACCTTCCCAGGTCAGTATTCTACCCTCCCACTTCCCAGAGGGGTCCTCTGTCCCTTAAAGCACCACCATGTGACCTGCTCAGGGCACACCATCAGTAAGTGACAGAGCTGGCATCTGCAGGTCGTAACCACAGGCCTTCTCCACTAGCAGTGTGTTTTTGAGAGAAAAGTATAGCAGAGACACAGAGGAGGTACAGGACAGGGCAGGGCTGCTGCAAGTCGTACTTGACAGAATGGCACCTAACAGCAACGTTAATGAATCGCAGACTGAGGTGAGTAAACACCTTTCTTCACGCAGGAGACATTTACGGCACATCTATCTCCTCCAGGCCTGGAACACCAGGAGGCACGTGAGATGCAGGACAAAGCACAGTGACAGAGCTACCCCCTACTCCCCCACTCTGCTGTCCCCACAGAGGGGCAGGACCTTGTGTGGAAGAGAGAGTAAGAAGGAGAGATCTTACCTTTCTGAGGTAGTTTAGGAAGAACTCTTGGACCAAGGGCAGTCTTTGCAGAACTGGTGCTAATTAACAACAACAACAAAAAAAAACCCTTAGGATCTGAAATAGTAAGATAATCAGCAGCTTTACATTATTCAAAGACATCGAGGGAGTTGGCAAAACCGTGTAGGAAACCCCTTCAAAATTCCTTCAGTGGAGGACAGTAATCTATTTTCGCGGTTGATGGTTTGCCAGGCTGGGCCTAAGGGTAAGAGAAAGAAAACCAGGACGCTGTGGCCGAGACACTGGCCACCTCCTCCGCTTGTCTGGCCTTTTCTACAGGTGGCAGTGTGTATGAAGCACTCAGCAGGCTGCGAGCTGTGAAGTCACCATCAGCACAGGAACAACGCTTCCCTGCAAGGTAGCCCTTGACATCCATTTGCAGCAAGGAAACTCGGGTGCCTGGGCTTTAGTTGACCTACTCAAGGCCACCTGTCTGGTTGGCGGTGGGAGCAGAAATTCTGACCCCAGAGCTCTGGTGTTGTCAGTGCTGCTGTAGGTGCTGTGGCATGGATTCTGATTCAGGGCCCAAGAGACAGGACACAAATGTCCCATGGACCTTCTTGGCTGTAACCAGGAACAGACAGCCAGGATTTTCTCCTGTGGAATTCCTGGGTGGACTTGAACCACCAACTTTCTCGTTAGTAGCTGAGCTCTTTGGTGTCATACAACCAGATTCTCAGTTTTTTCCAAGTCTTTCCCTCCTGATAGCAGCTTTGTAAATGAGGGAATAAACCCAAGTGCCTGGCAAGAGAGCGCTGGGCCACCTTGTGAGGAATCTGCCACCTCTAGTCGCATGGCAATGGCAGGGCCATTAGCCGGAGCCGCTGCTTCCCTTCCAATGAGGCTGTGACTGCTCAGGGGACACTGGTGGAGACTCAGTGTAACGGCAGCCACGGGCCTGAGCCAGGCCTGCCCACAGCACCCTTTCTGCATCCTTTTCTGATGCCCTATGACCTGCCTTCCCTGCCCACCTTCTAACCCAACCACAGCTTTAGAAAGAAATAAAAAACCAGACCAACCAAACAAGCGTCTAAGAAAAGAGAGGAGACGTTCACGTTCCTTCCTGGCCCCCAACTCAAGTGGGATCCCTGGAAGCCCGGGGTCCTAGAGGGTGATGCAGGGAGCAGAGCTGCTGTAGAGCAGACATTTATCCTGCTTCTGGAGCCGGCAGAAGATGCCCTCCGCCTCTTGTCTCCCAGATCTGCAGTCTCTGCGGCGAGCACCGTGCTTCCTGGCAACGTTAGCAAAGCAGAGCCCCGGGTTCTGGGCGTCGCTACACAGAACCCTCTGGACTGGCATCTGTGAGGACGGAGCTGGGCTGCTGGCTGTGGACACGAGGCCACTGCTGCTGGTGGTGCTCTGTGTGGCGCGTGCGCTCTCTCTCTCTCTCTCTCTTGCTCTCTCTCTCTCTCGTGGGGAGTGCAGAAATGATAATGAATTACCAAATGGCTCTGATGTACCGTCAGCGTGGCCCAAGTTTAACCACTTCTGTATGTTGGATGCTTGTTGCTACCCTGGAAGAAGACCCCCAGGATGCCCATCTGAAATCCCTGAAGCAGGGCTGTAGGACAAGAACTAAGTGAGGCACTCAGGCCAGGCCCGGGGGAGAGGCAGCGCCTGGGCCTTCGGGAAATGGTGGGTTCAGGTCACTCTGCCATGTACCACCGTGTCCCATCTGTAAGTGAGGATGACAGTAACTGGACGTACCTCACAGGGTTTAACCGAGACAGTGACAGTTAAGGAGAAAGGACTCTCTGCTTTATCTTTGCTGCACTCTGCAAAGTCAGGAGCCGGCCCTGCTCACACATAGAAAGGACCCTCTGGGCCAGACGGGGTGAATTCTGCTCAGAGAAGATCATCTTGCCCCCCTTCTTCCCAGAGGAAGGGAGGAAGGGACAGGTTTCCAGTGCAGCCTACACCCCCAGCAGCAGGGCATCCTGGCGGAGCCCAGTCGCCTGTGGACACCCCCAGGCTGTCACCCTTCCCCGAAGAGTTACCCTCTTCAACCCAGAGCCTGCAAAAAGGAGCCAAGAAGCAGCCCAAGGAAACACACTGATCTCATTAAAAAACGAAAACGAAAACCTCATTCTGGCAGTGATTCTGTTAAAGACACTGCAGAACTCTGTCCATGAGGGAGAAAGGGAGTGGAGGGGGAAACTGGGTCAGAGAGGCCACTGCTACTGTCCCACAAGATGCAGGGACATCCGGGCAAACGTGGCTTCTCCTCAGGGACCAGCTCCAGCTAGCCATCTGCACTCTGAAATGTCAGGAAGTGGCTAACACCCACTTAGCGATTTCTTTCCACTCCACGTCATGGTCCAGAGAGTGGCACAAAGTGCTAGGGACTCACCTGGCTTGCTGAGAGAGCCCCTCAAACTTGCTGGCCGGCTTACTTGAAGAGGACGGGCCCACGTCGTTGCCTATAGGGAAAAGGAACATGAGATGAATGGATTTGAAATCACTCAGGTTCCAGAAAGGCATCTAGTGGCCCAAAAGGACCAGAAGGCAGTGTGTGTTGTCAAAACAAACCTGGTTCTGGGGCTGAGACTGGGCTTATCTGGCTATGAAAGAGGCATGTTAAAGACGTGGGCAGGGGGCCCTGAGGTTGGCTTTCCACCAAGAAGGCCACAGTGAAGGCCCACTGGCTTGGTGTCTCACTCACTCTAATGTTTATTAAACACCTGCTGTGTACAAAACATGAATGCGGAGCAAACGAACAAAATGCCATCCCTCCTCCTCACACGGTTCACCCTTCTGCCTGGGAAACACATACGGAACTGGACTAAGAATGTGGGACCATGTGACGATTGGGTGGAGGTGGTTACTATGAAAAGGTCAGAAGAGAGAGTGTCTAATCGAAATGGGCAATGGGGACCTGGCTGACACGTGGCACCCGGGCAGGGAGCGGAACTTTCTAGTGGGAATAGGAAAAGCAGGGGTACAAAGTGGGGAGAAGTGCACTTTGTCCAGAAGCCAAAGGACTGCTGAATAAAAGTGGGCTGGCCTGTGACCCATCGCAAAGTTCAGGGCAGTGCTAGGTGTGATAGCGTCCCCTGGATTCATGTCTACCTGGAACCTGTGAATATGGGCTGATTCAGAACTCAGTCTCTGTAGATGTCACTAAGTTAAGATGAAGTCACACCAAAAGAGAACAGTCCTTAATCCAACGACTTCTGGGAAAGAAGTGGAACACAACCGACACGGAGGGGAGACAGGCAGAAACTGGAGTGATCCGCCCAGAATGCAGAATACCAAGGCCTGGCAACAGCCCCCGAGCCCAGGAGAGGCAAAGAAGTGCTTTCCCTGAAGACTCTGGGGGCAGTATGGCCATGCCATCATTTTGATTTTGGCCATCTGGCCTCAGAACAGTAAGACCATTTCTACTCCTTTAAGCCACCGAATACCAGCTGCTGGTTGCTCCGCTGGTGTCTGCAGCTCCGAGCCATCTCCTTGTCTGCCTTCCTAACGACTCCACCTCCAGCAGACTCCTTCCTGTGACCATCCGACCCCACACAGAAGGCTGGTGAGGAGCAGGCGCCCATAAATGAGCTTAAGTAACTATCATGGGACAACGAACCTGCTCAGAAGTAGCAACAGCTGCCCAAATATTTCACATCAGTCCTGACATCCTCACAACCTGAGAAACCACTGTGAAGATGAGGAAATCGGGCAAATGAGTGCGAGGGCTCAGGTCATGTGGATAAACGCGTCCCTGGTGGTCTTGGGTGGGTCTGTGTCGGTTCCTCATTAGCCATCACAATGCCTCAATCCAGCACAGCTCCAGTGGTTTTCTGGAAGCTGTAAAGCTCCTGGGAGGAGACCCTCTCTCTTGGAAGAGCTAGTCAACTGGAACTGCCTGAGGGGTACCACTCTCTGGTTAACAACGCATCTCCCTAGACACCACGCCACCCATCTGCTCCAACGTCCTAACGGGGAGCAATAACCATCACAACTAGCATCCCCGAGCGTCTCCCCTGAGGAAGGCAGTGGGCTCAACACCACGCTACGATCTATCATGCTTAGGCGCTGGGAAATAGAAAACCCTGTTTTATAAATGCAGAAACACACATTAAGTTAACTTGTCTAAGGTCACTGGTAAGTGGCAGAGTCGGGCCAAAAGCCAGGCAGCCTGTCTCCAGGTCCGGCCACTGAACTATCACATGGTCTTGTCTCCACCTCAGTCAGAGGAAGCAGACGTGGCCCGCACGCAACCTTCTGTAACTCTTGGTACATCGAAGCAAGAACAAGCAAACTGGAGACAGCAGGGCTCATGACTTCTAAGGCTAGTTCGGCTTAATTTCATTAAGATGGCCCTTGCAGCCATGACATTTCCAGGGTCCCGTAACTCCACATTTGTGATTTCTTTGGTGACAAATGCAGGGACGTCTCAGCTGTAGCTGTGAAGAATCTCTAGGGCTGATGACCAAAGCTTGCACCTTCGCTGAAATGAGCCGTACACTAAACTCGAGGCTCCTGACGCCCAGGGACCCTGGGGCACTGACAGTAACCGCCTCATTTCCCAGACACCGTCTGTAAGGGAGCAAACGTCCACAGTTCTCATGGAGCAACTGGCAGGTCTGAAGGCTGGGGCGTCTCAATCGCCAACCTTTGGTTACTACATGAGTGCTTAACCACTGCACCACCAGGGCTCTCTAGAAATGCTCGAAATTCCCCAAAATGTCAAAGAGGTCTCCATGTCTGGGGACTGAACTGCTGCACCTGCTAATCCCCTTTCTGAAGCAAAAAGCATTCCAAGCGAGGGATGAATTCGGCTGTGAGGTGACTACGGCCCTCAGGGCTGTCGCCCTGCTGCTGTGGCCCAAGGTGCTGTCACAGCGATGAGCCAGCGTGTCAGGCCTGCTCCTGCAGCCCAGCACCCACAGGCCCAGGGTCCTCATGGATCCCTCCTCCCTCTCTGGACACTTGAGGTGCTTTTCCATAGACACTGTGCTTTTCTATTTTGGTCCCTTCCACCTGGACACCCGCCTTCCCACTTGGAGTAGCTGTTCCTAGCCGATTTTCAAAGTCCATCTCCACAGTCAGTTCCTGGGAAGCCTTCCCTAGCCAGCCCTGAGTGCGCGCCAGCCCACGGCCTACACTGAGGAGGAAGGGTCCAGGACTCTGGGTGACCCGGCTTCCTGCAAAGGCTCGGGCCCCGCGTGTCTACACGAGGAAAGGAGAGTTGAGCCCACCAGCTGCTCTGTGGGACTAAGATGGGGCGGCCTGTCTCTTGGACCCCACTGAATGTCTAGGAGCATTAACTCGTGTGTGTGTGCGCCCGTGTGGCGTGTGTGTATGTGTGTCTGGGGTGCTGGCTGAGTGAGGGGCCACAGAAGGGGCACACAGACGGTCATGGTTATTCACAGCTCTCTGAGGGAAGCTACTGGAAATGACGAGGGCTTTCTCAACACGTGTTCTCCTCAAATACACGGACACCAGCACACTGTCCGCACAGCCCGGCTGCCTGGCGATGCAGAGTACAGCCAGGAGCTGGCCCCAACCACCCAAACCTCACACACCTGAGCGGGTGGTCATCTTCCTCTCCCTCCTCTCTGTGCCTGGAGGTGCACATACATAACATTCTGTGTGAGGGACCATCAGACTGCTTTATGGGACCCCATGAATGACAAATGAAATCCCATTCATACAATTTTCAAGTCGCAGCAACTGTGTGCCTTCCCGCTGACCACTCCCCCCGAGGGCCTGGACTGGAGCCCCCCGAGCCCACTCATCATGGAGCGCAGGGCAGGCACCTAGAGCCCCCCAAGGACAGAGGCCAGGGGGTGCCTAACTGTACTGCACCAATCACAGGAACCTCGGGTGTGAGAACTCAGCTCGTCTGCTGGGCGCCATGAAGGCCAGTGCTATCTCCCTTTGCTCTGGCCTTAGAGTCCAATCTGTGGTCCCTGTGCTGTACTTGGACATGACCTTGAGCTGCATGTTTTGATGAGATCATAGGCATGGCCTCTACTTTGCTACCTTTATTCACTTTTTGTCCTCATTTCTTATTAACCTTATTTTGGATTGTTTTAAAATATACCTTGGTCTGTTAGAAGGCAGGTCATAAATGATGTCTTTTGAGGGAAGTTTAAAGAAATTCCACTTCAAAACTCACAAATTCCTCACAAAACCCAAAGCTTCCTACAGGCCCGCTAGTCATATGACCTAGAGCGTGTCTCCTGGGATGTCTGCCTGCGCTCCCCTTGGGAGTGGCTGCAGGGTCAAGAGGCCTGGGCTGTTGAGGGCACTGTGGACACTGTGGTTCTGACAGAACAAGCCGGAGCAACCTGCCTCACCCCGGGCCCAGCACTGGGTACAGGGTTGACAGAGCAAGCCGGAGTGACCTGCCTCACCGCAGGCCCAGCACTGGGTACAGGGCTGACAGAGCAAGCCAGAGTGACCTGCCTCACCGCAGGCCCACCTCTGGGCGCAGGGCTGACAGAGCAAGCCGGAGTGACCTGCCTCACCGCAGGCCCACCTCTGGGCGCAGGGCTGCAGCAGGCCCACGTGGACAGCCCGAGTTGCGGCTTGCTGGGCTCCCTGTTCTAATGGCCCACTTTCTTCACGGTTTAGCTCAGGGACAAAGAACAAGTGCTCCGGGGATGACAGGCACGGCTCACAGCCTCACAAGCTGGCCATCTCCTGGCTGCCAGACCTCGGGCACGCTGCGTCACCTTTCCAGATCCCGGTGTCCTCATCCTTAATGTGGCGGGAACGCTACTTCCTCCTGTGAGGTCGGGGAGAATGAACTCACACGTGCACGTGCTCACCTCCCTGGCGCACCACCACACGGTTTATCAACATTAACCTTCAGGCTGTCATGTGTCACAGTGGCCTCTGGAAACAAACACAGGCTTCCAGGCCTGACCACTAACCATCCACCCAGCAAAAGGGCAGCCTGCCAACCACGGCCAGCCAATGGGTGCTTTTTTCTGTGCTCTGGGTCTTAGGCTTCCTCACACAGAGTTCTCATGAAATATTAAATGAGGCCTCGGCTCTTTTGACAGACATCTAGCACGGGGCCTTGTGAGCAGTCCTTGATGCTTGAATGACCAGGCCATACAGTTACTGAGATGACCACACACCAGCAGGCAACAGAGATGGGTGGGTGGAGGCTGGCTCAGGGATGGTCCTGGAGCAGGTCACAGATCTGCAGAGATGATGCAACACCAAGACAGAGCCGGGGGAGGGGGGAAGCACACCAGGTACAGAGCAAGTCAGGAGTAAAGGGGAGGAGAGGTAGTCTGTGTACCTCACTGTGGCAGACACTATTTCTGGGGTGCTAACGTGCTCGGGCAGAGCTAGGAGGTTGCTGCTCTACCCCCTCGTGGTCCTGCATCCCACCCCTCCCTCCTCCCGGCAGTCTGAGGTGCACAGAGAGGGAGAGCAGTGGAAGGGGGTGCAGCAGAAACACCATGGGGTGCTGGCTTCCCAGCATGCATAAGCGGGGGGGGGGGGTGTCCTGTCCTTGAGGACACAGTGTCCGTGGGCAGGGAGAGCAGTGAGCAGGTTACGGCAGAGAGCACACGGCTGCTGCCAGCCATGCCCGCCCGCCCCCCAGGAAGGCCAGCTGGATTGTGTCTCTGTATCTCACAGGTGTGCACCACGACATGGAAACCAGACCACCACCTGGAGCTGTGACTGTCCCAGGGCCGGGAGCCGGGAGTGTCCCAGGGCCGGGAGCCAGGAATGTCCCAGGGCCGGGAGTTGTGAGTGTCCCAGGGCCAGGAGCTGTAAGGACCTGTCACGTTTGCTGAGCACAGGTTTTGCACATTTCAAGCCTGGCTGTAGACAAGTGGCTCTGAGCTGATGAGAAACACCAGCAGACAACTTAGTACCCACAATCCCAGGGCACCCCTCAACGTCAGCTAGGGACACTCAAGAAGGGGTAATAATTTTGTTCCTTAGTGAGAAAACCTCCCAATGTCCATCCCCCCGCCCCCACCAGCTCTGGTCCTGCTGCTGTGAACAAGTTCTGAGGGGTGACACTTAGCGTAGAAGAAACTTGGGTGAATTCAACCCCACGTGGGGTGACGGAGCCTGTAGGTGAACACAGGCGCCATCACTCCACAGAGAAACAGGGCGGCTGCGATGACCTATCAGAGCGCAGCACCATGAGGGCCACTCAGGGAGCCGTCTGGTGAGGTCGTGTCTGGGGTGAATCCTTCCTGAGGAGTCTGCGGTCTCAAGCCGGCTGTCACAGCTGAGGACTGATTCTCTGTGTGCACGTGTGTGGTCCTGCTGGTCTCCACTCACTCAGCTCCCTCCGATTTCTCCAGGCGACCCGCTCAATGTCACCCATCTCAAATGTCCCACCCCTGGTTTCTCTCACTTCTCATGTGGTAGGACTTCCGGCACTTCCACAGTCCTTACTGCACTGTCTTTTCTAACAGGCAGGGTTTTAGTTGGTTTCTACACGTGTCTCTCTCAGTTGGGCACGAAGCTGAGATATGGGATGAGAATCTGAGGATGAGACAGAGTCAGTGGAGGAAAGACAACATACGGCATCAGACACACGCCTGGCACTGGGGATGGAGGGCAGACAGAGAACTGATGTGCAGGTGGGCAGGAGGGTCCTCTCCAGCCTCCTGGCCCCCCACCCCAACTCCAAATACTGTACAGAGGCAGCATTTGAAAGAATCAAACTCTCAGCATGAGAACTGCAATTAAAGAGGAAATAGCTACAGTGGAAGTCATTGAAGGAAGACGTGAGATGGGCCAGCGAGGACCTCCTTGAGCAAAGCCTGCCTAGTGACTGACGTGTACTGGCCAGGACACGCTGGGTCCTGGGGACCCTGGGGTAGAGGGCGGCTCTGGGGAACTAAGGAAGCAGAGAGGGATGGAGCTGTAGCCCTCACGGACAGGAAATGCTCCTGTGTCACGTGTTGCAGAAAGGGCTATGCTGTAGGACTGGACACCCACTGTGGGCAGACTTGGGGCCATTGCTGCGAGTCTAGAATGAGAGAAGGGGTGATGACTGGACACATACTGTGGGCCAGATCCACTGCTGGGCTTCTGGAGTGCGAGATGGGGGTGTGTGTCTCTGCTCCCCTAGCTGAGAGTCTATTAGGGTGAAGACACCAAACATACAAGTAACAAGTAGAGACAAAACTGTTACCACGGAGATAAGACCCTCTGAAGTAAAGAGATTTGGAGGAAAGTCCTTTAGAGAAGAGGTCAGGAGAAAACGTCTGTGCAGAGAGCTGAAGGCTCAGGGTGTGGACCTGCCTGTGTGAAGGGAAGAGGGGCATCTAGGAGGAGAGGGGGGCAAAGGGGCAAGAGCAGAAGGCACCAGAGCGGCCAAGCCTACGGGGAAGAGCAGAGAGAAGTAGAGGGGCTGACCCTTGCCATGCCTGGCCCTCCCAGTCCAGGAGCAAGAACAGAGGACACCAGAGGGGCCGAGCCTCATCACACCCTGCCCTCCAACCAAGTCCAGAGTAAGCCGTCTGAATTTATCTGAAGTGGGAATCCATCAAAAGGTATTAAGAAGAACCATAAGCTAACTTATACCTTAAGCAAACCATACTGGCTGCTGTGAAGAGAATGGCTGGTTTTTTGGAGACTCGCTCACTGATAGAGGAGGTGCAGGAACACTGACCTCACAGAGCGGCTCTAACCGTCAAGAGAGCCTGGAATGCTCTGCACGGTGCCCGGTGCCTCAGGAATGCCTGGCCCCTAGTTAGCGGAGATTTTTTTTCAAATGATCTTAGTATTTGTTGAAGTGTTCCCTGGCCTGAAGAGGTTGGCACAGCCAGCCTTCCAAGCCTCGTCCAGCCTGGGTGGCGCCTGGCACGTGCTGTGAACGTGCTAAGTGCCCACCGGCGGGGGGAGCCCAGCACCACCTGGCCCCGGGCAGCTCTGCCCTGCCTTCAGGAGAACTTACCCCAAGGAACTGCGCCTTTGTTTGGGGGCCCGTGAGGTAGTGGGCTGGGAGGGTCAGACAAGGTTCTCTTGTGTCCGGGTGGTGGGGGAGGAGGCCTCTTCTTGGACAGGGTGGAGCTGCCACTAGAGGTCTGGGAGCTTAGAGGGAGTGATGAAGGTGGGCCAGTTGGACCTGGAAAGGAATGGGATGGGGCAGGAAGGTTAATCTCAGTGTTGCAGACACAGCACAGCCAGTATGTAATCACTCCCCCTGGCAACTGGGGCACGATACTCAGACGAAAAAGCAAACCGCTTGTGCTGTGTTGGGATGGCCAATTCCAGCCATCCAGTAACTCAGAAGTCAGAGGTTTCAAAACTGCTGTAAAACACAGTTTACAACAGAGGAAGGAACAGCCTGTACTTTAAGGGACAAAATGTTAGTTGACACAAGGCTTAAAGGCTTTAGGTCATCATTTAGGTACAACAGGAAAAGTAAAACACACACATCTTAAACCACTAATTCAATGGAATAATCACAAAATTCTACTGTGAGGTAAAGGCACAGCACTGTCAGCAAGACCAGCGGAGGACGTGTGGGCCACGCCGGGCTTTCAGCGGCCACATGGCCACTGCGTGGGCCAGGCCAGGCCATCAGCAGCCACAGCGTGGGACAGGTCGGGCTGGGCTGTCAGTGGCCACAGCGTGGAACAGGTTGGGCCGTCAGTGGCTGCAGTGTAGGACAGGCTGGGCCAGGGCGTCGGAGGCGGCAGCGTGGGCCAGGCCATCAGTGGCCACAGTGTAGGACAGGCTGGGCCAGGGCGTCGGAGGCCGCAGTGTGGGCCAGGCCATCAGTGGCCACAGTGTGGGACTGGCTGGGCCAGGGCGTCGGAGGCCGCAGTGTGGGCCAGGCCATCAGTGGCCACAGTGTGGGACTGGCTGGGCCTGCCTGTCAGCAGCCACAGCGTGGCACAGAAAACACTCACACAACAGGCGGGTGTCTCTGTACTAAAGGTTCTGAGTTAGCAACCTTCCCTGAAGCTTTTTAAAGAATCCCTTTTCTACCAATAACCTTGCAAAGTTACCTGAGGGGAGTGGAGGAGCAAAGAAATCTACAGACTTTTCTCCTCCAAGTAACTGATTACATTGGCTGCCTGGGCAACCGTTATGTTATTTAAGCACTTTTTTTTTAAAGTAGATTTGACTTTCTCTAGAGGGAAAACCAGGAGAGGAGCGAGGACTCTAACAGACAGACACACACGGTGCGGGAGAACACCACTGCGGACGCGCTCCCCAACACTGTCTCAGGGGAAATGATGCTATTTTTTGGTACTGATGAGGGAGGAGCAGGGTGAGGATGAAGGCTCTCAGCTGGTCTCGATGCTGGGCACCTGGGGGGGCGAGGAACTCCTTCTGAACCACCAGCAGGACTGTGACTGAACCAGGACAATGTTCACGGACGACTTTTTCCCCATAAGCATTTTTTTTTAAAAGAAAGGGACAGACTGCTAGGAACACCTCAAATGCAGCCACGAGATGGTCGATACCTGACGACCTGGGAGGCTCCCAGGGAGATTTTACACTGTGTATAAAGAGCAGGTTAATCACCGGCACCTCCTTCCTCTGGGAATCAAGTGTCCACACTCCCCTGACCAACGCCACCGGTGAGGCTGTCACAGACCCGCAGCATCTCCTCTCTTGGGGTGTTGAGCTGAGAGTAAATACGAGTGACCGAAGCAGCGGTCAGCTGGGTCAGGATGAAGTGGCCTACGAGACACCGATGGACACTGTAGTGTCACCCCGACCATGGGATGGGCCACACTTTTTGTAACAGTGAAGTGACTGTTGCTACCATTTTGCATTTGCACAATGCTTTGTAGTTTCCCAAGTGTGTTCATGTTTGCTAATGCTCCGATCTGAATGCAGCCCAGGAAGTGGGTTCTGCTGGGGGCAGGGCGCTGATGCACAGGCAGGCTGGGGCTGGTGAAGCCACCCCACTGCGGCTCCCCAAAGCCAGGGCAGCATTTCCCAGGCTTGGCACACGGGGAATGCCACCAAGCCCGCTCAGGAGTAGGAAGTGCAACTTTCCTCTTGGAAATGAAAGAGTAATGAACAATAGACAGTAATCTCAACAATAGGTGAGATTCTCTAGCTTTGTCTTTATTGCCACCTAGGGACCATCTGATGTGGTGCATCTGAGAGCTCTCTGACTCGGGTTCCAAGTCGCCCAGGAGACAGGAATTGCCAAAGAGAACAGGCAAATGGAACCCGTGTCCGAGAGAAGGTGCATGCCTGTGTGATCCCACAGGAGGAGAAGATTCCCAGGAGGATCGGGAAGTCACCCTGCAATCAGACAAGCAGAGCCTGGCCTGCGGGTCCCCATTTCAAAACTCAAGGGGCTACTTCCCACGCCACTACACACGCCTGTCTTGCTTTCTTCAGATCGCCAGTGACATCTGTAATTATTCATGTCTCAGGTTACTGCTTGTTTGTCTGCATGTCCATCACACTTGGGGATTTCACTCGGGCCAGTTTTTCTCTGACCTGATGCTATGCATTTTACTGAACAATTAAGAGGAACAAAGGTGCTCTTTCAGTTCTTGAAGGCTAGTGAAAGGGTGGGATGCTTCACTGAGGGCCACAGAACAAAAACTTGGGGAGGCGAGGCAGTGAGAGAGGGGCGGCCTGACATCCGAAGAGGAGCAACCGATACGAATAACAGTTTTATACTGTGACAACACGCACAGATCCATCAATTCTGTTTTGTCACAGAAGCTACAGAGTGTACCCAAACCACAACCAGTGACTTGATTCCAACACACAGCAGCCTCCCTGCAGGGCCGAGAACTAGCTGCCTGGGCTCCCAAGCCTGTCTTCACCAGAAGTCATGCTCTTCCTTCTGCTGTGGACGGGCTCAAACCACAGACCTGCTGGTTAGCAGCTGGACGCTCTAACCATTGTGCAACCAAGGCTCCTACAGAAAGGAAGTTGCCACACACTCTCATTGGCTGGAAGGGCATAACCTCAAAAGGGCTGAAAAAAATGTCATTAGACCTCAGAAGACTTCCAAAATTAGTAAGTCGTCTTTTAATATCGAAGGGGTACTTCCTGCAAACAAAGCAGAGAACAAGAAGCGACAGAGAGGCAGCAGGAGGCATGGTGCAGAGGGGCCAGGAGTGGCCCTTCAGCTGGTGTTCCCCCTTCAGCTCTGCCAGGAGCCTGAGAACCCAGCAGAAAACAGCCCCTTCCTCATTCACCACCGATGCTGGGTACTATGCCAAATTTGCTTCTATTTCTTAAGAACATGGTCTAGCTGTTCAAAGCTGTTATAAATAACGCTGAGGTTTAAATAATTAGTGGCCTCTGAAGAAGAGCACCTCAGCTATTCCTGGGGTGACCTGTTAGTGTGAACATCAGCTGCACATTCAGAAAGGTCTCAACCAGCCAGAAAATTGGCTGTCCACCGTGAGGACGCAGCCCCCTCCCCGCTCTGAGCAGAGCTGGCCAGCTGACCCTCGCTTCCACAGGACGAAGGGGAGTGACAGGGGTTTATTTTTTTTTTAAACACATAAAATAAATATTATTTGGTAAAGGATTTATAAAATCCCATAAACACATCCTCGGTTAGCATGTGTTACAGATTATTGGCTATTTTTAACCAATATTAAAACGCTGTCACTCAACACCATTCCAAGGCACCCCAACTGGGAACACTGACATCTCTTCACCCCTGTGCTTGGGTGTCTACTTCTTGCTTTGGAAGGAGTCCTGGTGGTGCACTGGTTAAGCGCCTGACTGCTGAGGGAAGGACTGGTGGCATGAACGGACGCAGCAAGTCCACGGGAGAAGGCTCTCGTGACTTCCTTCTGTAAAGATTGCCGTGATGTGTACTGTTGAGAGGGAGCTGACCCACAGCGGACCCTCCAGCGAGGGCTCAGAGGCTGCACCTGGCACAGGAGAGGCTGTCCCTGTCGGGGGCTTCAGGAGGCCCCACTGGGCAGGTGCACTGTCCTAGAGGGTCCAGAGAGCTGGAGGCAGACCTGCAGTGCCAAACCACCACCTCAGGTGAACCCATCCGTTATTCAACCACGACGGATGAGGATATGGACACGCTGTTCTGCTGCTCTCCGCTGGGGGCTGTGGGCCCCATTTACCCGAGGCCCCTGCAAGCAGGTCGGGCACTGTGCTGGGAGTCGTGGGGGAGGGCGTGGGGTTATGGGGCCTGTTCCGAGGACTCCCGCACCATCTTGTGCTCCATCCTCCCCTTGCTAACAGCAGCCTTCTCTATGCAGGCGGCCTCCTCAGTCCCCACGTCACCTCCTTGGTTCTTGTCCCTTCCAGAGGCCAGAGTCACAGCACAAAACCATTCTGCTTGTGTCCTCAACTCAGGTGGGCCCCACTGAACTTGAGAGCAGAGGGCCTCAGGGGTGCCCTAAAAGAAAGCTACACTGCACATGAGAGCCCCCAGAGCTCCCGAGCACACCCCACCCCGATGCTGTGCATCTTGGAGTGCTGGCTGCACCAGGCAGCCCAGGGAGTTTCCAGACCAGAGTCCTGCAGAGTCTGCCTGGGCTCCAGTGCTGCTGCCCTCCCGCGGCCTCCCAGAGGCCAGCACGTGCCTGCTGGTCAAAGCCTCGCTTGTTGTTAGGCTCCGCTGAGTCACCACAACTCACAGGGACCCTATGGACAGACCCAAACCCTGTCCTTTCTGGTGCCACCCTCGTGGTCTCTGCCGTCCTCAAGTCCACTGTCGTCACTAGGCCAGCACATCTCTTGGAGGGTCTTCCTTTCTTTCGCTGGCCCCTTTATCTTTCCCAGAACGACCCTCTATTTCTCCAAAGCCCGTATGTGCCACTGAGTCAGCTACGACTCCCCGCGAGCCTGTGGTCAGCGGGATGGCACTATGGATGACCACCACATGCTCGCGTCCGTGTTAAAAAGGCGCTGTCTCAATCCGTCCTGAAGACCTTCCTCTTTCTCTGACCCTCTATCTTCCCAAGCATGATGTCACTCTAAAGGGCTGGCCCTTCCAGACAACATGCCTGAAATAAGTGAGATAGTTTTCACCATTCTTGCCTCTAGGGCACACCTGGCTGTCCCTGCGGTTTGTTCTGGCTTTCCGTGGATGTCCAGAACCCTGCTGTTACTGTGTACCACTGAGCTGGAATCGACCCACAGCGGGCCCTCCAGTGGGTTTTCAGAGGCAGTTAATCGCATGGGAGAACGAGCAGTGTGATTCTTGACTGCCAAGCCACCAGAACTCCCTACCCAGAGCAAACTTCACAGGGTAAGAGCTTCAACAACAAGGACCTCTGTCTGCTTAGTCCAGAAAGCCTGTCCTGGAAACTCACTCAACTACACTGACATATGTTTATAAACTTCCATTTCTAGATTCAGTCAGCATGCCCTCCAAACCTCCCTTCCCTTGTCTTTTGTTTTCTAGAGTTGCCGCTTACTAAGTGAGTAGATCAGATGTCAATGCTTTTCTACGCGTTACATCTACAACTTGCCTTATTAAGTATCAGCACTATTGTTGTAATTTACCTTAAAATAAAAAGGCTCAAGGTTCAGGTAATGGAAGAAGCTGGCCACAGCCAAAGCTGACGCGCGGAAGCCCAGGTCAGCTCGCTCTGACCCCAGGCGAGTCACCCTGTTGCACTTTCTGTGAAGACCACCAGGTAGACCTTTCTGGATCATATAGAGACACAACTGTGTTCTCCCTTCACTGCTGCTCCTTCATCTTTTAAGATCCAGCTCAAAGGTAAACCTGTCCAGAATCCATCCCCTTCATCCTGGGGAAACTGCTTCTACCTCTGGACTTCCCACAAGGCTTACTGGCATGAAATATTTTCTCCTGTCCATTAGAAGTATGTTCTCTTATCCTTCCCATACTGTCTGATTCCTGGGGCAAGACCTGTCCTCTTCCCATCTCCCAGGGCAGTGTCTGTCTAAGGAAAGAATTCAGGTTATGGAAGAAAAGAGTTGCTGCTAATGCCCTTGTACATCCTGTTTTCAGTAAAGTAGAAAACCCAGAGGCCTCCCATGCTGGGAAGGAAAAAAAGCACATCTTTGAAATTTCAGACAAAAAGGAAAACAAAGACCTAGAAGGTGGTTTAAAAGCAACCTTGCAATGTCACCGAGACTTAATGCAGACGAACTGCTGAACGGAAAGCCTATGTCACCAAACATAATGACGAAACCTATTCAGTCTGTAAATTTTCACAATGAAGAGTTCATAAAAAAGAAGAATGATCTTGGCAGGTTTTGGAAAAAGCTGTAGAAGTGTAAGTTACACATGTGAACATGCCAGATGTAAGGGGTGATGACAGACATTACAACTCGGCACACAACAGGGGAAAAACGCACCACCTTCTGATGGTTTTAATAACACAGAACACGTGAGGGTGAAGGCTTTATCAACTCCCTGTAAAATGGAGCGACAGTGTCTGCTGACATCAAGGGCTCTGTGTGTAGGAGGTGGGAGCTACCAGCATCTATGCTCAGGTGGGGGAATGAGGCACAGGAGGGAGAGACGTTGACCACGGGCTCTGCTCACTGACTTCTCCATAAAAAACAGCACCACCTGTTAATCCGTCCTGCAATCTCCTCCCGCGGCCCTGGAGGCAGGCCCTGGATGCAGCATTCGAGCTGCCTGGGGGCTTGGCTCTTCAGCAGGTACTGAGCCAACACCTGAGGATGCCCTCATTTCTCGTCCAGAACACTCTCATACAGAGACAGTGACTGCAGCTCAGGGACAAGTTTTGACCATTGCTATATAACAGACATGAGCTGCTCCAACAGGAGAAAACCACAGGCCTGTGGCTTAAAATTATTTAAAAACATAGTTAAACGAAGCTGACGAACCAAGCCCAGCAAGCAGTATCTCCTTTCAAGTACCTGCTCCGTGTGATGGAGTCCTGAACGTCGTGTTCCCACAGTATCATCTACTGCAGAAAATCCTCAAAACAGCAAGGCTCCGAAATGTCATTTTAGCTTAAAGGTTAAAAATAAATCAGAACTGGTGGCTCTGGGGAGGCTGCTGCTGGCTGTGGGGAACTCTACAGGCTGTTTCTTATAGACAAATGTCAATCTCTCTGGGCCCCGCATGTGATGAGGGGGTTCGGCAGCCTCCGTTTCTGGGAGGTGGACTTTGCTAGCGGTGAAGTTTTCCTTGACTTCTGATGAGGAGCGAATGGGTCCTGAAAACCCGTGAGCTGGACTCAAAGTAACCACTCTGTCCCCTCTCGCACATGCAATTCTGTGTTCCTCCGCGCAAGGACCTGATTCGGTGTGCCTGTTTTGGCCTCACCTTTTAGGCCCCTACATTTGGGGATGAAAATGGCTCCTGACGCATTGAGACCTCAGCTGTACGTGCCATGGGGAACGGGAACCCCAAACAACAGAGTCAAGACAGCCTTGTTTTCACACAACGGTTCTACCAATTCAACAAGGGTGAGCAAACAGTGGCGAATTCTCTGCCCAGAGAGCACCAGCTGAGGGCCAACAATGTCTTCTAAGAGCTCTCGGATTTCACATCAGCCTTTCTCCAAATGAGGGGCAGCGTGAGCCGGGCCAGCGACAGGATGCATCCCTCCTGTCATTCATCAAAGTCCTGGAAGCAGGGCCCCTCTGCTTCACCAGGGGGACTGCACTCCCGGAATCGGAAGTCCTGCAGTGAATACAGCCCCAAACACACTCATTTTATGAGAAGAAACGTCTACTTTCCATTTTGGGCTTTCAGGGGGTGGAGTGAGGAGAGAGGGCTCAGCAGCCTGTCCTCAGCTGACCACGGCCGCCATGGCCACGGCTCTGCGACTCGGTTTAGCTGTTGGACCGCTGAGGAGACTAGGTCTTTGTCTCCTGTGCTTTGGAGAAGAGCTAGTCAGAACTCCTTCACGGTGGAAGGGCTGTGCTTGGCACTGGGGCCAGCGGTATATTTTAGGGGTGTCTGGATTCCTTTGAGATTACAGAAAGGGGTTTGAGGATGAGAGTGGGCTCTTGATTTTTACTGGAATAATTTCTGAGGGTCTCTGAAGGGGTATAGGCAGGGCAATATGACTCTCCTGGAAGCCAATGATGAGATCTATAGGTAACAACTTGAACTGTTTTCCTTGGACTGGGTGCATTCCCTAGCCCCCTTTCTGGGGAGCTGACGGGTCCTCTGCTCTGACTGGACGGTGGTCCTGGTGGAGACGACTGCCCCCTAGAGGAAGGCAGGACGTCCACACTGCAGACCTGCACGCCTAGGAGCTGGTCACAAGGACTCTTGATACTGACCCTCCGTTCCAGTACTGTGTACAATGAGCACCGTTCACACCCAAGCCTGACGTAACTTTTCTCTATTATGGTCTCTGAGTCCATTGGGGGCCTCTAAGAACACAGCTTCTATTTATAACCCAATTTCAATGAAGTAAGCTCTCAAAGAACAGTTTTGAATACAGCTCACATTACCCAGAAAAGGAGCCCAGAGCAACTCCGCTAGGTCTGCCCTTGTGTCCCGAGAGGCCTCGAGACCTGTGGTGGTCTGAGCTGAGCCTGGGCATCCTGCGTCTGTGTTAGGCTAGCACCGGAGGTCCAGCTCCATGCGCCTCTCAGGCCCTGCCGTGGCTGGGCTGGCCTCTCGTGCTGCATTCCTGCCCTCCACTTGCCCTGGCACAGTTGGCAAAAAGCTGACCTAGCAGGGCCTGCTCTGCCTGTGGACACAGGGCGGGCACTGAGTGGCCACCGCACAGCATGCTGGCCCATGGCGCTCACTCCGCAGAGCGAGAGGGGCCAGGACAATGCAGTGTCCCCCGGGTGAGTGCACGCCCGACGGTGACTGGTGGCTGGGAGCATCCTCAGAGCACACAGAGCCCCCGGCAGCGGACGCACCACGTCCACAGCACACTGCCCTGGTCCGCACAACGCCGGGAGCCGCAGGGCCTGGGTGCTCTGCAATCAGGACGTGAGAAGTGCTCACTTAGGGCCTCCTGTGTGGCGAGTAACCCTGACTACGTCGCTCTGATTAACTCCATCAACAGACAAGCATTTAATACAGAAGGAAGAGTATTCATTCTACACCGAGAACAGGAGCACACGATCTGGAAATTCACAGACCCTGGACTCAATCTCAATTCTATTAGAAAGCTGTGTAACTTTGGACAAGGCATTCTACCTGTTTCCTCATCTGTAAAATGGGCTTATGGCCCATAAAAGTGTTGAGCAGCTTATCTGAGGTGCTGCCTGAGGGGTACCTGGAATAGCACCTACTCTACCACTGGGGGTCAGCAGATGGGAGCAAGGCCCCTGCAGGGCAGTCACACGTGCTATCGGTTCTGCCACTCCAGAAGTGCCCAGGCCCGCTTACCCTGAAGCTGGGCAGATACCAGCTCTGAGGACAGAGTCGCAAAGCCGTACCTTTCCCGGCATTTCTAGGAGGCAGTGGGGGGGCCTCTGAAGTCGGGGACGTGGGGGAGTCTGTGCTCGTGGAGGCGAAGATCTGGTTGGTGAAGGCGCCGTAGGAGAGCCGCTGTCTGTCCCTTGGTGTGCTGAAGCTCGGCAGGGCCAGCTTGTCCTGTGGGGAGATGCTGGCCGAGTGGCAGAAGCTCTGAGGCCTTGGGGAGCGCTCCTTCTTGATGGGGCTCGGCTGGTAGAGGAAACACAGGGTCAGGGTCAAGCAGAGAACAAAACTCAGGGTGCAGGCGCAATCTGCAGCGCTGGTCAGGCCTCACTGAGGCCACGTAGCGAGACACAACATCACAGGGTCACAGTGAGACAGAACCCTCACGAAGCCTTCTCATTCACAAACACTGGCCTGGTCCGCCACACACTACAGGGTCTCCCTCCCTGCTCACCCCTTAAGTGTCAACGTTCTCATCTGACATCCTCCTTTAAAGCAAACTCATCCACACCACGGCCTCGCCTCAGCTATCCACAAGCCGATAACCCGAGAAACTGTTAGTCCCCCAACCTTCAGGGTCCCAAAAGGCCTTCAACGGCCTGTAAGGCATGGCTGGTACTCGTTCTCCAGGCTGACAACGTCCCCGGCCACTCAATTTCCCAGGTGGGAGCTTGCTATCACACTTGCCCCCATCACATCAAGGCCACCACATCCTGCATGGACACTGTGCCCACACGCACCAGTCGACACCTTGTCTAGGCATGCGCTGTTCCTCCCTGGAACCACAGCTCCCCACAGCTTTCCTGACAAGCTCCTATCCAGCCTCAGAAACTCACCCTATTTAAGGATATCTGCCTGCTAATGTGGAGGCCTTTGGAACATCTTTCAATTTTCCCTAAATCCATATTATAGTGTTTATCACTTATAATTTATCGTTAAGTTATAAGGTATCAGCTTGAGCATCTATATTCTGAGTGGTGAATGACTTCAATACATCTCACTGGGTTTACTCCGTGTACCCCGCCTGGCATGGACAATACATAAATAAATGAACCTGCAGAGGTTAAAAACGCCCCAGAACAGAGTCAGACCGAGCTGGCTGGAAGCCAAGAGAAGGCCTGTCAGAAGGCACACGTGTGGTCTTACCGCTGCCCACTGACCGGACCACCAGAGCTCCCCAATGTACACAAGAGCACCCAGGAAAAATACACCTGCTGGTATTTCTCCTAATTCGACCCTACGGGGCAGACTCTGCTCAGGACAGGATCAAAGACATCGTGACAGGAGTCCCGAGAGGTCAGGAGTCCCGGGAGGTCAGGAGCCTGCAGCCGATCTCACAGAGACCACACAGCAGCATGGTGGCCCCTGGCACTCACTTTGTCGTCCAGGTCGTCATCGCTCTCGTCCATCTCCTCCTGCCGCAGATTCCACTCGTATTCCACGTGGACGTGTGGGTTGAACTTGCCGCATTTAGCCTGGGAGAGCTAGAAGCAGGCATGATTTCAACTTAAAACACTGCCACACGATACAGATCCCAAGTAAACCTCATTTACTCGTGGTTTCAAACTGTCATCAAGAACTGTCTGGTCGGCACATCTGACTCTAGAGCAGGAGTCGCTACAGACAGGCTTTCAAGGAATCGCAAAGAGATACAGGCGGAAGCTTCTTTAATGTCACCACCTGATTTGTCTCCAAAAGGAAAAACTTAAGATTGTTCAAATGAACAGTAAAATGGCAGATCCCTAGCTGATGACCAGAGTTGGGGACGTATGCGGGTGGACTGTTAGACTCACAGTCAACGGGCAGTCTATTTTTCTCACTGGTAAGAGAGAGGCAGAGAGAACCACTCAGAGGATTGCTGCCAGCACGAAACAGAAAAGTGCCGGGTCTGGAACCTGGCTACAGGGACCCAAGAGGAGGTCATTGTCTCTCCTGTCTCATCCACCCCTGTGGCTGAGAGATTAAAACTGAGTTAAGGCTCCAGTCAGAAGCAGAGTTACTAGGTTAACTGGCGTTCTTGATCAATTCCGATCTGTGGTGACCTTAAGTGTCATAGCAGAACTGCAGACCTGTTTGCCAAGACACCTCTGGGGGGGTGAGAACCTCCAACCTTTGGGTTATAACCACACACCTAGCACCCACTGTCACCTACAGAATCCCACAAGCAAGAACTACACTGGTCAAAACACGGGGAATGTGTACAGAAGTCAAAGCAGTGCATCTAACTTCCTGATAGTCACTGCACTCGGACCTGGTTTCCCAAGAATTCATTACAGTTAAGGTGCAGAGAAAGGTCAGTGGTCTGGTGAATAAGAGGCCTGACCACCAGGCACAAGCTGATCTGGTCAGTGCCTTTAAAATCCTCCTCCTTACAGCATCTCTGTCAAACCTGACGTCTAATGACACACGCACAAGTGCACGCTGCCTGGATGCAATCCGCAGTCACAAAGCAAATCTGCTCCTCCTATGCCCACGCCCAGCTGCTCGGAATGACATCTGAAGGCACCTGAGAGACAGGGACTCCTGCTCCTATTTCTGTTTTCTTACCAAGTCTTCGCACTGAGTCGCTTTCAGCCTCTTTGCTATGTCCAGGGCAGTTTCTCCAGCCTGGTTGACTGAAACGGGAAAGAGACATAAGTGTCAGTGGTCTCCAGGACACACATCGTGAAGAAGCGAGGGAGGACATGTGAGCCTTGGTCTTCCGCACGCCATCGATGGTGCCGTGCTGCCAGGCCGGCCGCCCCCCCGTGCGCTCACCGATCTCCACCGTGGGCTTGCTCCGGAGAACCAGCTTCAGACACTCGGGCTTCCCGTACAGACTGCAGTAATGCAGCACGGTGTTCCCCACGGCGGTCTGCTTGTCCAGGTTCCCGCTAAGGAAGCACCAACAGCGTTAGCACGGAGGGCAGCTATCGTCTAAAACCACTTTCGTCTAAAACCAGCCTGACCACTTTCTTCTGCATTACTAGATACCTAACATTTCAGAGCTGTTTAGAAAAATGATAAAGCTGTAAACATGACACTTAAATCTACAAACAATCTCATGAAAAGACCAAAACCCCAAACTCAAGGCTGTGAATTCCATCTCAAGGTGACCCCACGTTGTGGTGGGATTCCTTCAGGTGGACTACGATTCACAGTGGTCCTGTGTACACTCTGAACCTCACTGTCCTCAGCACCATCCCCGTGACGTGAATACTTTGCTACAGTCACTCGGTCAGTTCATCCTGTTGAAGGTCTTCCTCTTTCTCTCACACTCCACCTTTCCCAACAGGGTGTCTCTGCCACGGGCTGCTGTCCCTTAAACACATTCCCTTAGTGAGACTAAGCTTCCCCAGGCTTGCACTTCCTTCAGCACTGACTGGCTTGCTATTCTGGCAGTCCACAGCTAGTCAAAACTATCTGCCAACACCACAATTCAAAGGCACTGACTCTGTCCTCCTCCTTCACTGTCCAACTTCCAGATGCACAGGAAGCAATTAAAAAATATCGTCGCTTGGATCTGGTGCACCTTAGTCGTTAAACTAACATCTTTGCTCTCTAGTACTTTGGTGAGGTTCTTGACAGTAGATTTTCCCAATGCAGTAAGTGTTTAAATATCTTGACTGTTGCTATAGGCATTGAGTGTGGCTCTACCACCTTAATTACCACCATATAAAATAGCTTTTAAGTTTTTAGAGCACTTTCTTCAGGGTGTTAAAAAAGAAATTAATTCTGTTCCACAGTGGTGAATTAAAACTGTATTAAACTGCTTTGTAATAAAGAAATAGATGAAGAAGACAAAGAGTATGTGTGCATGCATTTATACTTCTCTCCACATTCATGTCCTGAAAAATTGACACAGCTTTAAAAATTAGATACCCTTTTGTTTGTTTGTTTTTCTTGTTGTGCACCGTCAAATCGGACCCAACTGGCATAGGAGGCGACTGCCCCTCCTTCTTCAGCAGAACACCTGGTAGATTCAAACTGCGTGCCTTCGGTACTGAAGCACAGCTTCTTGCCACTAGGCCCCCAGAGCTCCCAAAGGAAGATATTATTCACATCAAATCTCAAAGACATTCTCTGAGTCCCTGACTCAGAGTGAACTCCACTGAGTAATTCCCAGGGCAAGCCACTGTGGTGTGGAGCCGTTCCACTGGCCAAGAACTTCGTCCTACTTTTGAGGTTAGAGCTGCCTTGCTCCAATTTTTACCCAGTGTTCACTCTCTCTGCATTTGGGCACTCCACAAAAAGTGCCTTTCTTGAATATTTCAGCTATCCCCTCTGTTTTCTCTTCAGCAGAGTAAACGCTGAGATGGAAACCACTCTTATGTGGTCTTCAATTCCCCATCCTGACTGTGCTGCTTCAGATGGGCTTGGGAGCCTCCTAAGCCGTGTCACACAGAAGCACCCAGGAAAGAGCCCAGCTTCCACACTTTCTTTTATTCCTATTACACTTATTATTAAAGTCATCGCCACTGAGTTGGAACGCACCCAGAGCTGACTCTCCAGCAGGTTTTCAGAGGCTGTAAATCACACAAGAGGAGACTGCCCATCTTTCTCCTGTGGAACCACCTACTTGAATTGCCTACCTCTGAGCTGGCAGTACAACGCTCTACTGGCTGGCCACCAGAGCTCCCTATGCTCACAACGTTGTTGTCAGGTTCTGCTGGAGCGAACCATGAACAAGAGATCTGCGGCCGGTCCTAACCTGTGTCATCGTCTTCATCTCTGACAAACTTGAGTCCACTGCTGTAGGCAATGCATCTTGTTGAGGGTCCTCTGCTGTTTCACTGATTCTCGACCTTTCCAAGCTAACGTCTCTCTAAGCAACGGATTCTCCTATGAACTTGTCCAAAGTATGTGAGACGAAGCTTTGCCGTTTGCCTCGAAGGAGCCCTCTGGCTGCATGTTAAGTCCTAGCTGTCTGCTCTCTGGCAGTCCATGGCATGTTCAGTACTCTTCTCCAACATCACAGCTCAAAGCCACCGTTCATCTTCCGTCATCCTTCTTCACTGGCCAGCGCTCTGATGCACAGCCGGGCACTGAGAAGACCATTAGTCTCTCCAAACCTGATCAGCGACCGGGCGAGTCACACGTCGTGCTGACTGACAATGACCTTCTGAGCGACGAAGCCCACAGATCCAGGTGACTTGACCTGTGAAGTCTTTTCTCTCTCAATCTTTCCCAGCGCAGCAAAGTTCTGGACACAAAGTGAGCATTTACATTTATCTGGGGGTGGGCCAGCCGCCAGTTTTTCTGTAAATAAACTTTTACCGGAAAATGGCCTGCTCATTTGTGTACATGTCGTTACTATGGATCTCACGGCACAGGGACAAGTCTGAAGAGCTGTGACTACAGATAATTTGAGACAAAAGCCTGCAAAGCCTTACTCACTCACTCCCTGGCTTTTTACTGAAAACACTGCCTCGGCCACTCGTAGGTGTGACTTGTCTTGACTTACAGGGCATTTCCAGAAACACAATAGTGACAAGAGAAGGCATACCAGTTCTGTACAAGGAAGTCAACCAAATGGAGAGATGTGTGATCTGCAGTTCGGACTGCAAGATGCAGGGCAGTCTCCCCCAGCTCCTAAAAACGGAGAAGAGAAGTATGAACAAGGCGATCAAGTGAACGACTTCGTTTAGAGGAGCTCAGCTTACAGAAAGCCAAAAACTCCTGCCCCCGAGTCGATTACAACTCACTGCGACTCACAGTGACCCTAGAGGACAAAGGAGAGCTGCCCCCAGAGTTTCCAAGACCAGGAGTCTTTACGGAAGCAGACTGCCACTCTTCCTGTGGAGAGACTGCTGGGTTCAAACTGCTGACCGTCTGGTTAATGGCTGAGCACTTTAACCACTGTGCCACATGAGACCTCTCGCTTTACATTTCATAAACCCCAAACCCACTGTCATCCAGTCTATTCCAACTGCCAGCACCCCTACTGGACAGAGTAGAAAAGTCCCATCCAGTTCCGAAGCTGTAAATCTACAGGGAAGCAGACCAGCTCTCTCACAGAGGAGGTCCTGGTTAGCAGGAAAATGCTTCTGCCCCAGTGCCACCAGGGCCCTTTTGTTTTCACAGACAACCTAACTGCTGTTGAGCGGGAACTGACTCCTATCTGAGCTTTCGGCAGGTTTTCAGGGGACTGTGATGTGAACCCTCTGGAAGGAGGCTGCCCACCTTTCTCCTACAGAGCTGTGGGTGGACTGGCATCAGCAGAGGGGTGCCACCTTTGATCAGCAGCAAAGCTCCCGAGGGATTATACCACAGGTAGTGGTGGTGGTGCCGCTGACTCTGAAGAGACCCACAGCTGGGTCTCCAACAGGTTTCCAGAGGCAGCAAACCAGAGGGGAGTGGACTGTCCATTTCTCTCCCATGCAGCAGCTGGTGGATTCAAACTACTGAACTTTGGGCTGGCAGCACAGTTTCTTACTCTTAAGCCACTTTAAAAAGAATTATGGCAAAATAATTATAATTCCACTGGTAGGAATACATTCCAAAAAAATCAGAACTGAGACACAAACACAGATCTGTACACTGATGTTCACAGTAGTGTTATTTACAATCACAAGATCATGAAACCAGCCCCAATGTACAGCTACGACTGAATGGATTGAGCAATTGTGGTACATGCACACAATGGAATTCTATGCAGTATTCAGGAGCAAAGAGTTCAAAAAATAACTTGGGAGAGCCTGGAGAGCATTATGCTGAGTGAACTCAGTCTCATTAGGGCAAATACTGCATAAGACCATTAATGTAAAAACAGAAGGATAAGTAGTAAAACGTATATGGGAGTCCAAGGGGAAAATGGTAGGAGCAGAGGGGTGAGGATGGGTAGGCGGGAGATCATAGGGTCACACAGTTTGGTGGGTAGAAAGAGAAGATAAAGAGAATGGGAAAGATCTGGTGGGGATATGAAAAGATAGGCTAATGGTGTGCATTTCCATGGTGATCAATTTTATAAAACGATGCATGAAAGGGATTGTATGAAGCAATGTGAATGAAGGTAAATGTGAAACACAACGTATACGAATTGTGTATGTAAGTCAATGCAAAAACTGGAAAAAAAATTTCAAGATTCACATAACAACAAAATATTATGAACAGCACTCTATCGTCTTTATCAAAAAGTCTGATTTAGACATGGGTCCCCGAAGCACAAGGAAAGCAGGGAGCCCTGGTGGCCCAGTGGTAGAAGCTGTGCTGCACCCTCAAAGGCATTCATTTTGAATCCACCAGCTGCTTCGCTGGAGAAGGATGGGCAGTCTTCCTCCCATGCGATTTACTGCCTCTGAAAACCACCTGGAGGGCGAGCTGTGGCTTGGTTCTGACTCGACAGCACGCACAGCAACAACCACCTGGTGGACACAGGTCATTTTTCTCACACGACATGTCACCTTTCATCCTGACGCCTGACTGAGCGAGGGCTCACCTGTCCGGGCTCCAGCAGGGGCTCCATGAGCTCCACGCCCTCTGCGTAGACTTGAATGAGTGCAAGCAGGTCCCTAGACTTGATGGCCTCGAGCAGGTCTTCGAGTTTAGCCGACGCGGTGGAGCAGGTCTTCCTGGAGAACCTGTGGTCCACGTACTTGGCCGTGATGTACTCTTTCCGTGCAGTCCTAGGAGAGCGAGACAGACTCAGCAAAGGGGCCTTGTTTCCTTCTACAAACACTTCTTTTTTTTTTTAATTTTTATTATTTGTGTGTGTGTGCCGTCATATAGGATCTGACTGGTACAGGAGGAAATTGTTCCTCCTTCTCCAGCAGGCATCTAGTGGATTCGAACTGCACGCCTCCGGGATTGCAGTGCAGCTTCTTGCCACTAGGCCACCAGAGCTCCCTCCAACACTTCTCTTTATAGAGAGCTCCTTTAATTATTAGACAGCTCTTTTCAAGATCCACACAAACTGGGCTGTTGACCACGTTTAGATGGTGTCTCAGAGGGACTGCTACCAACCAATCCTCCAGCAGAGCATGAGCTCTGGAAGGATCTGCAGCCGTCTGTCCGGGAGCAGGAAACCACTGCAGATCACTAGGGCAGTCTGAGAAGGCAGGTACAGCCCGCCCCTTCTGCCTTGAGGGATCTCCTCTAGTTCTGGTGGAACTGGGACCATATCCCATCTGCAGGAGTGAGAGCGTGACCCAGGTGACCCAATGCAATCTTTGGGAAAAGGTGAAAGTTGATTCAGAAGAAAGTAGAGACCAGGGGGAGACGGGCGCGTCCTGATGATACTGCCTCACATCCTAGATCCAGCTGTGCCTGACTCACCCCTGAACTTTCCAGTTCTGTGTGATAATACATTAAATGAGTGGTCTGACGGTTCGTTCAGGTCCTAGTTCTACAGCATGTCATCTGTGTGCCCTTGCCTGACCCTTAATTTTACAGGTTTCTGTGTTTTTCATCTGACAGTGGGAACAGCATTTCCTTGACTATTCTGAGTGAAAGAATACTCATCACCTAACAGGGACTCTCCGCCCTCCAGGAAGGACAAGTGATAGGAAATCTGCTGTGGTTGCCCATCTCAACGCCAGGCGGCGCCCTGAGAGCTGAGGGTCCTTCTTACGTCACCCGTGCAGAGTGAGGGCAAGTGGAAGGGAGTCAACTGCAGAGAAGTGTTTCCACAGGGTAAAAAGCCTAGTCAGTCTGGTGTCTACCTCCCGGCCTTCTTTTCAAAGCAATATTGGATCACTCGAGTCAGAAATATTTTTCCTCTTATTTATCTGAAGCATTAGTAAATGCAATTACACGTTCAAAAATAAAATGACATAAAATGTGTCTTATGACCAGGAGTCCCAGAGCGCACACCTTCACCAGGTTCCTGTGCCTCTCCCTGCGACTCCTCCAGCAAACACAAGTCAAATACAACACTGTGCTGACCAGTCGTCACTACTGAATCGACACTTCTCTTTAAAAGAGGCCAGGCACCCAGAGAAGGCGTTATCAGCACACTTCATCAGGATTTGGCTGCTGTGTTCAGAAGCAAATGTGCACGGGGAGTGGTACCCGGTCCTTCCTCTAATGCGGTATCCTTGGCAGTCTTCTGCCTCGTATTTCGTTTTTTAAAGACTTAACAGAAAACCTTGGAGACTGTTTCAAACCACATCACAGAAAGCATCTCTGTTCTTTTTTACATCTGGTGTTCTGTTCTGCAGCCACACCACAGAACACACACCCTCAGATGCTTGTGATGAGCTCCTGCTCCATTTCTGACTCTCTTCTGTGACAGCACAGGGACAAGTGCTACAATGTGGCTGGCGGAGTCCAAAGGGTCTATCAACGTGACAATGTGGCCACTCTGACATTCAGAGAGGACTGTTTTGCACTGCCACCAGCACCCTGTGATGAGGCCCCTTTCCCCACATTCTTGCTGAGTGGGCTGTTAGCACGTGCACTTCTGCCACTGTGACAGGACCCCCAATGGCTCTGTGAGCTTCTTCCTTGTGACAACATGCTCGGCTAGCAATCACTCCCTAACGCAGTGCAAGCCTGCACAGGGCAGGTGCCTGGCTGCCACCAACCAGCTCAGGGAAGGTGCTGAGGAAAGTAACCAATGAGCAAAGGCTACATGCAAAGTGCTTGTTTTCAGATCATGGGGTATCCACTGGGGTAAAAACCCAAATGCTACAACTCTGAGAATCTTTTCCTAAGAGAGTAACAAAATAATTATAAACTGGATAAAAATTCAGCATATCAGAAGTACTTACATGTCACTGGAAGGGGTGGGCTTTGGTGAGGGGCTGGGTAAGTTTGCTTCCAGAATATCATTAAAACTATTGTTTCCTACATTCTTGGCCAGCTGTAACACAAGAAAAAAAATTCAGCACCACAACACAGCAAACTCTTTACAATTAGTTTAAACGTTTAAGTAATTGACTTTTGGGATTTCTAAATCTTCCCCCACACTTGACTCAGAATGCAGTCCATCCATCCATTTGGTCAACACATTTTCTGAGTACCTACCACGTACTTTCTTTTCTGTAGGAGCTTGTGAGATCAGCAAGGACCAGACAAAAATATAAAATATAGTAAAAATATCATTTTTAAAATGTGACCAGTGGTAGAACAGAAGACACAAACGACAAGTTTCTCACTACCTAAGATTAGACGGGACAGTTTATGTGACTTGCGGTTAAAGGCCTCACTTACAGGAATCACCACTGTGTCTGACCGGTTTCCCTCGGATTTAGGGAACAATCTCAGACACTGCGGCAGTTAATGGAGGGGATCCAGCAAGTATTTAGCTTATTCAAAGGACTATCCCAAGAGAGCCTGTTCTGGAAGGCAAGGGCTCATTCAGACAATGCTGGGATAAAGTGTGGGAAGGATTCACACAACCGGGCCTTCTGGGGAAATACTCTTGTGTTTATGACACATGAGCTGTTTAGGATTTGGGTGCCCTCTGTGTCTAGCTGCCAATCAGGGTTCCGCTGACATGAAGGCCACCGTTTCCACACTGAAGCTTCTGATAAAGTTTCAGCGTGAGCCGTCTGCAGAATCCTGAAGCCAGGACCACGCAGGTACAGTCTACCTCCCAAGTCAGGAAGCTCGTATAAGACCAGACCTGAGTGCCTGCGGGATTAATTTTTTTAAAAATAATTTTAATGAACATTTACAGAGAATTTGGATTCCCATTCATTCATTGCTGCACTTCTCTCCCCACCCATCCCTCTCCCCCCGCCCCCCAGTTCGCTCCTCTCTTCAAAAGCAAAAGAAAGACTCTCTCCCTGGTACACAATCCCCCCGCACTCCTCCCACCACCCCAAGTACATTCCACTATGCAACCTTAATTGTGGACTCTTGTGATAACCATAATACCCTATCATACATCGCTTTTAAATTATTCAGTCCCTCATCTGTTTCAGTGCAGTATACACAATTTATCCAGTTTTTCTCAGTCTTACCCCCACCCTGGTATCAGTCCCATTTTACAGCAGTGGCACCATGCAATATTTGTCCTTTTGTGACTGAGATATTTCACTCAGCATAATGTCCTCCAGGCTCACCCATTTTGAATAATATTGAATGAGTTCCTTGTTTTTCTTTATTTTTATTTTTATTTTGTGTGCGTGTACCGTCAAATCAGATCTGACTGGTACAGGAGGATATTGCGCCTCCTCCAGCAGAGCATCTGGTGGATTCAAACCGTGTTCCTCTGGGAGTGCAGTGCAGCTTCTTGCCACTAGGCCACCAGAGCTCCCCTAGTTCCTTGTTTTTCAATGCAGCATAGTATTCCATTGTGTGAATATACCACAGCTTCTCTACCCATTCGTTTGTTGATGGGCACCTGGGTTGTTTCCAAGTCCTTGCTATTGTGAACAGAGCTGCGATAAACATGGTGTGCATATATCTGCTTGGATGTCAGTTATGGTCTCTTTGGGATATATTCCCAGTAGTGGAATTGCTGGGTCAAATGGTATCTCTATTTGCAACTTTTTGAGAAAGCGCCATACCGCCTTCCACAGTGGTTGCACCATTTTACATTCCCACCAACAGTGAATAATGGTTCCAGTTTCTCCACAACCTTGCCAGCATATGCTGCTTGCTGTTCTGTTAAATTTTGCTATTCTGATTGGCGTGAGATGATATCTCATAGTTGTTTTCAGATTCACTTTTAATGAACAGTTTTAATTCTCTTTTGGAGAATTTTGTCTGATGTGTTTAAGCGTCTCACAGAGCACTCGCGGACACAGTTACTCAAGACAGAGCTCATGACCGGACACTGAGGGGACTACAGAGGCCTTCCCATCTTTTATTTGGCATATGTGGGTAACAACTGAACTAAGACCTAACCATGGCTCCAAGTCTGGATAAGCCAAGTTCAAGTACGTAGAACTCTTTTCTACATTCTACAGCTAAGCCCCACAAAGTCATGTACTTCTCTTATTACTGAAAGAAGGTTCAGGCTTAGGAGTAACTGGGTTTATGATGAAAGTCCTGGGTGGCACTAATAACCAGCACATTTAGCTTCTAACAGGAGGGCTGGAGATTCAGACAGACTTCCAACGACACCCACAGAAAGCCTCCGAGCAAGCGCTCTGACACACATGGGGTGGTTCCCGCTGACTACATGGCAATGAGCTGCTAGTTAGTCTTATGACAACAGCTAACAGGTTCCCTCAGCTCATGGGCACTTTTATCAAATAGTAAGTTAGATCTCGCCAAAGTGATTAAGAGCTATAATGTCAGCCGAAAGACTCAAGTGCGCTCGATCCAAGCCATAGGACTGAAAGATGGACAGGAGTTAGGATCCCAGAAGAAGAATGGGTGTCTTCAGGCTGTGGTGTTGAGAGGAATACTGAACACCCCACAGACTGCTCAAAGGACAGAGAAGTCAGTCTTGGACAAAGTGCGTCCAGGGTGCTTAGAGGCAGGGAAGGTGAAACTTGGTCTCACAAACTTGGGCATGTTGTCAGGAAGGGTTGGTGAAAAAGATACCTGCTGGGAAAGGTGGGCGAGTCAGTTAAAGAGAGGAAGACTCCCAACAAGGAGGAATGCCACAGTGATGGCAGCAAAGGACTTAGCACATCATCAGAGACCACAGGGAAGGTGCCGGGCGGGGTAGGGGTCAGATTTGTGGTTCACAAGGTCGCTCTGAATCACAACCTATACAATGGCACCTCACAAGAAGTAACAGGAGAAGGAAATGGATAAAAACGCCTGTCATTATTTTTAATCAGGCCAAGTAAGTATCTGGGCCCAGTCTTGTCCCCTCTTATTTCTATTACAGTAAATCATTAATTCCTAAAGAAGAAATCAGCCTTGAAGCAGCTCAGCGAGAAGAAAAGGGAGTCTAGTTGAGCCAATTTCCAGACTTGCTAATTCGAGGAAAGCACGATTTACATGCTTTCTTCAAAAAGGCAATGGAAGTAATCGCTTCATACCACAAAGGTTACATTTCAAATGTCTACGCTTTGCATTCAGCAAAACCCAAACAAAGCAACACAGTAAATATACGGATGCCGATAAACAAACCGCCCACCCTCAACACACTGGCAATTACTTACCAAGAGTTCAGAAGTTCCTAATTTGTCTAGTTCCAAAGACTGAATGCGAGAAATATGAACCCCCATCTCCCTGTGGATGCCGGAACATTCTATACAGGTCAAAATGCCCAAGTTGGTTGAAAGCCAGGTAGGTTCTGTGGAAAGAATTTTAAAGGCAATGAAGTCAACAAGGTATTTAATTAGTGCAATGATTACTGGAGCAGCTAATGGAATAACAGGAAGATTTATTAGGCATTATGTGGTACAAGATTTAAACGGGGGAAAAATAGATGTTTGTTGGCCCAAGGGAGTAATATAAAAACTTGATAAGTAGCAAAAGGTCTGATAAGACAAATTTCCCTTAAATACTGAAAAGACAGCAGAACCAAATGCTCTATGCTTGGGAAAATGTGAGGGAGACTTTCCGACATGGTCCAATGAAACAGCGTAGGTCTGAGCACAGTGACCCCTCACTGCCAGCGTCTCCCACTGTGATGGACGGCGGCCGTGTAAGTGCCTCTCGCCAGGGACCGGAGTCCACAGCCATCATTAACCTTGAAGCTACAACTTGCATTAACTCATCATTCTCAGTCACAGCCACAGCACCAAGTGTCTCCTGGTGATAAGACAGCTATAAACACTGGACACTAAATGTTTCAAAGACACAACGCTTTTCCACAGCCCCGAGAGGCCCAGAGCAGTGTCTATGTCGCCAAAATCTTCAGGGTCCCTTCTCTCTGCATGGATGTACCCTGCCTCTTTATAGCTGGTCCACACCCGAGTCCTTCCTGCTTCCTCACTTCCTCCCACTTTGAGAGTCAGTGTCTGTGTATCTCTCTCTCTCTCTCTCTCACACTCTCACACACACACACACACACACACACAGTAAAACCGTAAACTTCCCTCTGAGACACTTGCAGCTTCTGCGGGGAAGCTCTGCGGGGAAGCTCAGTTTTGTCACTAAAACAGTAAGAGGAACTCCCTGCCGTCAAGCTGGAAGTGACTCCGAGCTGACCCTCGGGGCTTCTGCGCCTGTAAATCACTTGGAAGGGGGCTGCCTGTCTTTCCCCCGTGGGTTCACTGCTGGAGTCAAACTCCCAGAGCGGCACTGTCTTTGGTCAGCAGTGTGGCTCCCTACCGACGACACCCCCAGAGCTCTGTGGAACAACAGGACCCATCTCCTGTACCGACTATGAACACAAGATCTGCATTGCTGCTCTCGGCCCTCAGTGGTGCCAACACTGTGCTCTCTCAATTACTAACCTAAAGGGTTGCACCTTCAAACACACCCAGAAGTGCCCTGGAAGAAAGGCCTGGCAATCCGCTTCCATAAAGACAACAGTAAGGAAAACTCACCCCGTTCTCAGTAGCATGTGGGTTACCATGGGCTGCTATCAACCTGATGGCAATAGGTGTTAGTAAGTTTTCTTGAAAGGGTGACCTTTCATGTGTTATCATGGGAAAATCATTTAAGCTGAGCCTTAATTTGCTTGTTTTATAAACAAGGATCCTATTAGTAACTCTCTCACAGAGCTTCTCGGAGGATCCGGTAATACAATATAAACTAAACACTTCCCTCCAGTCCCTCCTGCAATGTAAACATGAGCCTCAGTCAGCACCTCGGCTGCTATAGAATTACATCTGAAAACAGATGTTATAGGGAGAAGCCACAGGGTGACTCGCAGTAGGGGAGCTGGGAAGGACGGGGAGCTGCCACGTGCGGCCAACTTCACACAGTCCACCTCACTATATCCTCACAGAACCTGAGGGACACTCAAGAACCCATTTTTAGGATGAGGTCACTGAGGATCAGAGTGGTCACGGGACTCAGAGGGGGTGGCCCAGCTTGTGAGAGGCCGACTTGTGGTCTAAGACCAGGAAGCTCGGCTCCACGCCGTGGCCTCCGCCATGCCTGGGTGCCTGGACTGGGCATGAGCAAACAGCTGACATGCTGGCAGGTGGGCACTGCAGGGACGGGGAGGGGGGAGCTTTCCAGGGAGAGCAAACAGTGCAGGAAAAAGACGCGCAGGTGGGAAATACTCAGGGCAGAAACACGGACTGTGTGTGTGTCTTTAACTGTGTCTGTGAAGAGATACGGTTTCCAATGTATCAACGGGCCGTATCCGTGGGATAAGCCAGCTCGAGTTTGGGGACAAATACCTGCGGAGCCGCAGTCGCAGCAGACGTCGTTCCCGGGCAGCCGCTGGACGTCCTCGATGATGGCCTTCGTCAGGTCCTCCAGGCTGTTCTCGCCCGCGCTCTGCTCCCCCCGGAAGGCCATGGTGAGCGCCTCCTCCTTGCTGTTGGTCAGGACTGAGATCCACCTGTGCTCGGACACAGACATGGGAGGAAGACGCCTTGTTAGCCCCGGAGGTGTGGCCACTGCTCTCCCTCCCCACCGGGAAATAAAAGAGCACTCTGATCAAGAAGATTCCAACAGAGATGAACAATAGCAAGGAAAAATGATAGCGGAGGGGCAACCTCCTGCTGAACCAGTCAGATCCGATTTGACGGCACACACACACACACACACACACACACAATAAAAATTTTAAAAAAATGATAGAGGAGGGGCAATCTCCTGCTGAACCAGTCAGATCCGATTTGACGGCACACACGC